GAGACCTCTTCAAATGGTCCAGAACGCAGCGGCACGTCTGGTCTTCAATCAGCCAAAAAGAGCACACGTCACCCCTCTGTTCATTGAGCTCCACTGGCTACCGCTAGCAGCACGCATCAAATTCAAATTGCTAACACTAGCATACAAAGTCTGAGATGGTACGGCTCCCATCTACCTGAATCCTCTTGCAAAGGCTTACGTCTCAGCCCGGCCGCTCTGGTCATCACAGGATTGTCGGCTAGCAGTGCCTACACCACGCTCAGGACAATCCAGACTCTTCTCATGCATCGTTCCACAAATGTGGAATGACCTACCAAGCACTACCAGAACAGGAGCTTCCTTCTCAATTTTCAAGAAACTCCTGAAGACCCTGCTCTTTAGAGAGCATCTTCTTAACTAGCACCCTCCCTGCACCCGTCCCCCCTTTCTACTGTCCAATCCTTGTTCCCTCCTCTCCATGACTGATGTCAAGTTGTTGTTGTTATTGTTGTTGTTAGCCTCAAGGGCAACATGCCGATTATTACTTGTAAGTTGCTTTGGACAAAAGCGTCTGCTAAATACATAAACATATCTGATGTTCTGATCTCTGCAATAACCACTAAGCCGAAAGTATCATCCTGCTCTACTGCCTGCAGACGCTACAGCTCTGCCGCTCGGCTAATGATAACAGATCTCACACCCACGGGCTGAAAACGTGGCTCTCGGCCATCCCTGTGAAAGTAATAAAGAATACTTTCTAATGGGAAAGTTGGAGCGTCAAGGACAGATGGGTTCAAAGTTCCTGGGAGCATAAAAACATCCACACCCATAAGAATCTGGGAAATACAGCTCAGTCATAGGCAGCCTTCAATCCTGTTGCTGGTGTGGAAATGAATTCAAATAGCTCAGTTTACATTCTGATGGTCTTTATTATCTAACTTATGGCCCACATGGGCAAACCATAAGGGTGCCAAAAGGGTTTGTCTGTGGTTTCCAGGGGATTTCCCACATAGATTTTAACGGGCCCTACATGGGTTTTCAGAGGAACCCAGATGGTTTGATTCATACTGCTAAAATCTATGTAGGCAAATCCCTATGGGGCCACCATAGAAACTGCAGATAAACCCTGTTGGCACCCATACGGTTTGCCCATATGGGCCCACCTATGCATAAGCTCATCTTTTAAAAGATTCTTCAGGAAGAACAAAACAACAGTTTTAAGTACTGAAAGTTTCCATTTTCTGGTTTCTGTGCCACACAGTTTTTACAAATATATTAAGTTTCAGGATGAATGTAAAGAAGCGGTCTAACAACTTTTCAACTATTTCATGGTTTTAGAATCATTAACAACTGTGTTGAAGAGCCAAAAACCAAATGAAAGTCTGTTTATTCTTATTTTACTACATTCTGTTGTTCTTAATACTCATTGCTAATAGGGTTGAGTGATGGCTTGTTTTGCAGGAATGCTTCCCCCATGCAGCAGCAATGATGCTGCAGCAGGCTTTGTGTGTTTAGTGTAATCATGTAGCTGTGTAAGCAGAGGCTGCAGGTCTGCATGCGGTGCTGCTGCCATTTTCTTTTGCCACAAAGCAACTTTTTTTCTTTCTCATAATCTCAACAGAGTTTTAAATAGCACAGCCTGCAGACATTTCAGACAAGTTCAGACATTTTGGGGCTAAAACGTGTGTTTACTTTGATTTAGTTTTCAGGACACAGTTTAAGCACATCAAGTGCTTGTTTAAGCCAGTCAGGCTGTGTAAGCTTCAAAGCTTTTATGTGCCTTAGAACCATGGATGATTAGTTCTCACACACCTCCTCAGGGTAAGAGTCGGAGCAGGTTTGACCCTGATTAAAGGTTAGCATGAATGCTTCTCCTCAGTGGCATTCTGGTCTGTTTTCTCAGGTAACTGGAGGTTAAAGGTCTCACTCTAGGTCACCTGAAGGTGGATGAGCAGAATGGGAGTAGAGGAACATGTTTCAGCTGTTAGTTTAAAAATTAGGCAAGTTAGTGTGCATTATTTATTTTTTGCAGAAAAACCAGAAACAGAAACTTGTCTAATAGCCATTTTTGCAGAATTTGAATGTATACTCTGGTGCCTGATAAATAAGCGGTTGGAGAGCTGTCTTCTACGTTTCTGCAGCAGCTGTGAGGACAGAAGACTCCCCTGCTGAGAAATGCACATGCAGGAATATTCTACATCAAATTCTTCACATAGTTTCCCAAACATCTCCTGTTTTCATGGGTTGAAAATGCAGCTTGAAGAAGACTAAATATTTTGTGTTAATGAAGCAAAAAAAAGTTAAGCGCACATCTACATTACACAAAGGATCAGGCGTTTTAAGGACATGACAGACTTACACTTTGACTTCATTTTCACCTTGGAGGATGACGTCCAGACCAAAATATGGGTCTGTTGTGGTTTGTTTCAGCCAGGCTGTTGCATAATGCCATGTTGTCACATGAATCAATCATAGCTTCATTATACCCATCCATCATTTTATGCCAAACCACCTGGAGCACAATGTTCAATGATCAGTGAGCAGATTTCAGTATCAGACAAAGGTGTTCTTAGTAAAGCTAAATGCAGTTTTTAAATGAGGATATTATTGATTGAAAGAGAAAATATGTCTGAAGCAACCCGACTCCATGTGATAAAGATAGAGGGGTCACCCTGGACAGACCACCAGCCTCTCTCAGGGCCAAACAACCAACATACAGTCACACAAACCAAAGGGGTTCAGGTGAAGGCAACTGGATTTCTTGAAGATGTTTTGCTTCTCATTCAGATTTCAGATTTATTGGCCAAGTAAAAGTACATTTACAAGGAATTTGTCTTCGGTAGATGTTCGCTCTCATCTGAGGAGCTTTGTCAGTTCTGAGTGGAATTATGGGAGAGCCAAGCTTATTGTTGCTTAACGAGCAGAAACTACCTATGAATACCCCTCCTCCCTACCCCTGAAGAGTCGTTGATGCCATTTAGGTCCTATTGTGTTGGAATGGTTGTTTTGGTTAAGCAGGAGGGTGTGACTTAATTGAAGCTGATTAGGAGTTAGGTTTAGAGCTGCATAGGTGCTGGAAAGGTGAAACCTGAGGTCTCTTCCTCTGTTTAATGTTGGTCTTTCCCGTTTGACATAGATAGCTTCCTCTCTCAAACCATCTGTCTTCTCTGTCCAGAAGGTCCGTCCACACTCACTCACTCACTCACTCGGGGAGTCGCTGATCAACCCAATATGCCACTTTTGGTCGGTGGGAGGAAACCAACACATGAACAGGATGAACATGCCAACTCCACACGGAAAAGTAGGATTCGAACCGGCAACCTTCTCGTTGCAAGGCCTAATGGCACCTACAGCACCACCACGCTGCCCTGATGAACCACGTTTCTCCAGCTGTGTGGTTTTCATCGCACAGCAGGAAAACTGCTAGAGGGATGTTTATTGTTTTAATGTGGCGGTAAGTCTCATTTTCCTTCCTCGGGCTTCCGTTTTAATGACCAGGCCGAGTTGTTTTCCGTGTATCCATGGAGCTGGAATATTCACAGCTTGTAATGAGATTCTTCCTGGCTTCCACTTCAACAAGAAACCTATTGGTGGTGTTTTTATAGGGCCAACGTCTATATTTAGACACTTCCACTCACATCATAAAGGATGTCGGTGTGCATTTTCACACACTTTTAGAATGACGGGATTTCACCAAAACAATTATCAGAGATCAAGCTAGTCACGGTTTGGGCCATGGCGCCATTCCACCAATCAGTGCGTGGTTATGGTGTGTCTGCCGAGCCAGAAGACTCCTTGGTCTCCTCTCGTGGTTACAGTCAGATCTCTGAAACTAAAATGCTAGGTTTATGAAACTATCACATCACAAAGTTGACTACTTGTGAAATCAACAAGGTTGGTGAAATCACCCATGAAAATCAAGGCAGCCATATTTGAACATACGCCCTGGACAAGTAAAAAGAATGAATGAACGTCTTTATTTGTCATTGCACATGTACAACAAAAATTGAAAGTACTCTCTCTCTTAAGGAGCATAAAAAATAATACTAGTAAAAACATTAAAAGTAGAACATAGCTCAAATAAATTACCTTACACATGTGCACAAATTATGTATATTTTTAGGTAAAATCTGTTGTTTTTAGACATAATCTTAATATTCATAATGAAAGTAACAATAACCATTACAACATGGAATATATTTTGCTGTCTTAAACTACGATTTCTCTGGAAAATGGAGGACAGTTATTGCGCCAACCAATCTCGCCATCAGTGATGACGAACAGGAAGATGACATTCAGGCAGATCCTCAAATATAAAATATTCTAACAACCTATATTTGATCAGAAATAGTATCTATACTTCAATAACTTTTCAAAAATATCCTAATCTGTTTTTCTAAAAATATGCTATATTATTTCATAATTGTGATATATTTTGTATTATTCTTCACTGATATGTTCTAACATTAGCAGATTACTCTGAAGTGTCTTATAATTATTTATACTGTTTAACAATAATGTTTATTTAACTTGTTCATGTTATTTTATTGTGGGATAACTTTTACCAGAACAGGCCACAGATATTTGATCACTTCGTTTTCTCAGATTTTCTGCATGAAAATAAATAGTTTTGAATAAAACTGAAAGATACTTTGGTTATTTACCACAACACCACCTTGGGGTTGAAAAAAAAGTAAACTACTTTAATGAGTGTCCTATAAAGGGTTAACAGTGTGAAGTTGATAGGAAATAGTTGGGTGGTGTCGCCATGTGGAAAAGAAAGGTACTGCAGGAGGAGATGCAGACTCACCTGCTCCTTCTGCTGTGTGGTCCCAACAGGACCTTTGTCGTTTATCCTGTAGGCGTTTTGTTTTAAGCGCTAACTCCTTATGGAACAGACCAAGCTACAGGTGTGCTAAAGTGGCTGACTGTTAACGAGACAAAAGCAACAAAAAACAAAAGAAAAAAGGGTTATTCCAAAACTCTGAGATACGTTTAAGCAACTTAAGACACAGAACCAGTCTCATCTCAGATTCTTTTATTTTATTTGAACAAATAAAGAAACAAATGTCATCGTATTGTAGCGCAATGTTGTTGTTTAGCATGAAGCTTGAACACTCTACACTTAGTGCAAAACATACCGTCAAAGGCTGCCAGTGACTCCAAATGTCATTTTGTTGTTTTCTCTCATTCATGCAAAGGTTTTTCTACAACGTTCAACACGATCCAAAGAAAACAACTAAATCCTACTTTTTTAGAGGCTTTTTAAACGGCGCATAAAACAAGTGAGATTTAAAATGAGTAATAAAACATCAGAAAGGCCTGGTGAAGCTGATGGAGGATTAAACATTCCACAGGAGGGAGAAACAAACAAACAAAAATAAACAAGACACACGTAATCGGTTCCTGTACAATAACGTGTGCTTGTGAAAACCTATCGGTGCATCAAAAGGCTTTATTTAAATGAGTCCTAAAGTGAACCTCTAAAACTGAACGAGAACTCCACCTACTGGTAGTTTTCTAGAATAAACTCCACAGATTAGGGCCAAACGCCGAACCATGAGCAGGGATCTCATTTATGGTCGCTTTAAAATGACTGCATTGCAATTATTGCACAGAGATTTCTCTCGCTGATGTCATCAAGTGGAGACACACCTAAAGCGGTCTGTGAGAATCTAAATGTGGCAACTAAAGCAGCTTTGTTGAATAAATCAGGTCAATAAAGTTTATTTCAACACTTTTCCTTTAAGAAGAAAAATGGCAGTATGTTGGAATCGTTTAGGAGAAATACTGAAACTCAGAGCTAAACTCAAAGTGGCTCAATAATTATTCACAGCTTCAACCAAACCTGTCCAGTAGTAAAAATGTTGTTTGTAAGAAAGAACAACAAAGTATGTCAAACTGAGTTCTGACAATTTTTCTAAATGATTATGATGAAAAAACCATTAAAGTAAATCAACTCTGTAAAAAAAACAATATAAGTCTATAAGGGGTCTAAATTCACTTATTTCCTCCCCTTTCACCACCAGTAACCCCAGTAAACCACCAGTTACAACATGTCCTACCACCAACAGCACCACCCCGTCACTTTCACATATCCATTTAAGTTTTAGTCATTATTGTGACTAAAATCTCCCAATGCTGTCATTTAAAATATATATTCATGAGTGGGATAAAAACATTCACAAACAGCTGGCAGACCCAATAGTTGACTCGATATTATTTTTTTTAATGAAAGCAGTATTATCAGACAGATTTTAAACCATTTCTGTGTATAAAGTGTGCTTAAATAGTTTGTATTCCCATTATAAAACGGAGTGGCTTATTTAAGATTTATGTTCACTTTTTTACTGAACAAAAATTGTGCACTCAACCACTAATTTTACAGACTTCCTGGATCTTTACAAAACCAAAGACACATCAGAACAGTTTAAGTTCGAATTTTTGATTTAGAAGATTAAAATGACTTGCTTTGAGTCAAACACACACCAGACGGAAAAAGTTGGTAAAAAAAAAAAGTTTGCATTCATCTTGAAAATGTAAGAAAACGCATGCTGCACCTGCAGGCGCAGGCCTGGTAAGTACAGAGTGGTCCAAGCTTCAAACTCCACGCTCTAATGACCGAGGCAGCGCCACAAAACGCCAACAACAAGCAGCCATCTTGGTTTGAACGGCAGCGGAGTGAGGGTGGATTTGGTGACCATCAGAAACATCAAACACGCCAAAGCTCCTGCAGCTTACCAATCATCCCCACCGATTCCAAACCAACAAACCAGTCTGTTGTAAAAAAATGAGGAAAACAAATCCCGACACATTCGGCAAACTTCAATCCAAGCAACAGGAAGGATGCAAGGCACTGTAAGTTCCTCCGTTTTCACCAGAGGCTCTAAAAAGAGGGCAAGAAACGAGAGAGCGTGAGAAAATAAAACCTTTTTGTTTCAAGTACGTTATAACGGACACCACTGGTTTATACATTCACATTCATCCAACAAAAACAGGACAGAAAGGGAGCGGGAGGGTTTAAAGTGTCTGATATACAAGTACTGTATTAAAAAGGAAAACATAGCTAGCATTATTTCATCATCTAAATGTCAGCGATCCTGCCATTCACGCCGGTGTGGGGTCCCTGTCCACTTCCAGTCCCACCAGTTCAGAGGGCGGTGGCTGCTGCTAAGGCTTTGTGTTGGTCATACGTGGACGAGAGGGCGATTACCGAGAACACAGGAAGTCAGCTTTCACATTTTCATTTGGAAAAGCCACTGAACTGAAAGTTAAAAGGGACCCCGAAACTGAATGCTTTCATTTTTGTGACACAACACCCTAAAACTGATGTTGTCCAACAACATTAAGCTAATAATAATAATCACAGTGTCTCCACATCGTACAGCGATGTGCACATTTAACAGGTCCGTTGACAGAACGCGGCTTTTGTTTCCGTTTCTTTTAAATAGAACAATAATCATTAACAATATTAATGTACATGATTTCAACCCAAACGTTGAAACTAGTAACAGTAAGAAACCAGGCGCTGCTTGAGTTACTCCACCTGCTGCTTCGCCTCCTACCGTGTGTGTGTGTGTGTGTGTGTGTGTGTTAGAGGTTGCTAGCTGAGGGCAGCGAGCAAAACAAACCCAACAAAAGCAGAGTAAACAACAAAATGGAATCATCAGAACTGACATTTGAAAAAATAAACAGACACAAACTGTACAAGGACTCTGATATTATTCTGATAACAAGGCCACTTCTTCTTTTATGTTTTTTACACCGAGGTCTCTCATGTCTGGGTTTTTCTTTTCAAAGGTCAACGCTGTTATTGCTTCAAATGTTGAGAGGTGATGAGGGACGGAGGAGGAGGTGTAGTTGTGGTGGTGAAGCGAGCGATCAGAGAGAGAGAGAGAGCGAGAGAGAGAGTGAAACACACGAGGTTTGATCCGATCGGTCTGTCTCCACCCGTTCTTTACTGAGACAAAGTGCTGGGTTACGTGCGGTCTCCTTATGCTTTTGTTTGAGAAGATCTTGGTGCGTTTTGTGCTTTTAATCATGAGGATATGTTTATTCTGCACTCATCTGCTGTCAAAAGCTCTCCCAACTGGAGCCTCTTTGATATGTGATCCAGCTCTCTCCACTCACATCAGCTTCCTGATGAAAAAGCAGCAATCCTCCCTGGCTCCTCTAAATGTGGGCCGGATCGATACGGTAACTTCTGTAAGCCCTGACTCCAACTAGCATGACGTATGCTGACTCATCACATCAGACATGACCAGGAACAAGTGCGACCCAGACATAAAAGCCTAAACAAACACACCGTCGGCCCGCTCTGTGCCAGAACCTTTTTTCCTTTGAACACTGCATCGAGACACTTTTGCTTTGATCCTTTGGTTGGCTGCCACCCGGCCAGAGCAGGACTGTGTGAAAAGAAAAGGGAGGTAAATGTGACCAGATTCATTCATTTCTCCGGATTTCTCCCCTCCAGTGCATTTAATTTGTCCGTTTCCTCCTCCAGTTTCAGAACTTTCCACCTCACATCTGTCCAGCCGGGCTGCCATCTACAGCAGCCCTCAGACCAAGCCCTATGTGGTCCTCACGTTGGGCCCTCCCGGGTTGCTCACAGACTTCTGCAGAGTGTTGGGAAGGTGGAACGCCTGGAGAGGACCCTGTCCTGGTATTTGTCCCTGTGACGTAGGGTAAGGACCCAGAGGCTGGGAGGTGCTGACCAGCAGAGGCTGTGCCGCTGTCTGCTGTGGGGCGGACATGCTGTGAGCTGGACCACACCACTGTGCAGTGTAGGCAGCGGAGGGCGGGTAGGAGATAAACTGGGCGGGTTGGAGTTGGGGTGGAGTGGAGGAGACAGGAGGATGGCACAGGGAGCTCTTGCGGGCAGCCAGGGAGGAGACGCTGGTGGGGTTTGCAGGGAGATGGGTGGATCCTCCCATGCTGCTGGGACAGAGGTGGCTGGGGGCCGAGAACTTCCTGCCCAGAATGGCAGACTGGGTGACCTGTGGAGGAAGAGACGGTCACACTGGTTCACCCCAGTGCAGCACTGGTCTACTGTCGGACTGATTAAGGAGAAACACTGATTTTACTACACATTTAGTTTAAAATATCATTTTTGAAAACTTAAAAAAGATTAAAATTAGTCTGTCACACATTATTTTACATTGAAATATTTTTAAACTGAGCAAAGTTTGGTTGCATTCCAGTGTCATCCGTGTAAATATGGAGGGTGGCCGCAGAGCTAAGGTTTCTGCCAGCACTGCGATTGGTCTAGATCTCTAGTCGTCCCTCATTTCTTTACATTTTAATTCTGAGTCCGGTTTTAATCTGGTCATTTAAAGTTTCCTAGGAGGGTTAGGGTCAGTAGCTAGTTGCTCAAGTAGCAAAACTCTCTTTTTGATTTATTTTTTCCCAGATTTTCACTGCACTTCATGATCAACGATAAGCATATTTAGTGAAACGACAAAGTATCTTTGACATTAACTCACTGGTTTTAACTAAACTAAAAGGCAACTGTGTGTTTTCACACTGACCTCATAGCTGTGTCCTTGTGTCTGCACCTGTTGCTGCTGTTTGGCGCTCCTTTTACCCTAAAATAATTCAACAGACCCAATCAAAAACAAATCAGTTAGAAAAAATGTCTGTTTTTTTCATTAAAAACGCTTTGGGTAAGACATCACATAATGAAAATGACCAATAGGTTAGTCGAGTTTTCCTCAGACCAAAAGTTCTTTCCTGTTTTTATCAGGAAACTTAAAATAACACACATTTGTAAGTGTTTAAAAGACAAAATTCAGTTGGAAGTGACTTAACCGTAAACTCCTGCGATATGAAAACAAAAGGTAAAGGTGCATCCGTATCCCAGATGCAGTGGCGTGTCCAGATCTTTTAAAATGGAGTGGCCCAGGTGGGGCACTACTTTATGGTTATGTTTTTTTGTTTTACCCCAAGCCCTTATTGAAAGGGAATTCAGTGAAGTGGCCAATCAGATTCCAAGGGTGGCATGTGCTATTTCAGGCCACTCCCTGGACACGCCCCTGCCCAGAAGGCTTTGCTGGTGGTTTTGTTTATGTCATCAATCACTTGTTTGTTTATTAAACCGTGGTTTTAAAGTTCCTCTCACCTCGGTGTCATCACCGATTATGAGCTTGTTAAAATAAACGCGTCCCAAAGGTAACAAACCTGGGACAGGCTCATGGCGTCTCTGGCCCAGTTATCCACCAGTTTATGGAGGTCGTCAGTGAAGGTCCCCTTCCTCTGGTGGGGGGCTGGCAAGTTAGGCGCCAGACACTGAGAGCCCCCCTGGCTGTGATCCAGACCACCTGATCCGCTCACCGCGTTGGTGCTGTTTGTCCCTGAGTGGAGAGACAAGGAGGGGGGAGGGGCAGAGGAGCAAATGACGTGAGATGATATCAGTTTCAACTGAAAGCTCACAGTGACATAATTAAGATAATAATTATAATAATAATAATGATGATGAGGGTGGATGCAGGCCCGGTCTGGTTGGAGTTTTAGGGCAGGTCAGCAGGTTCACATGCTTACAGAAACAAACGTCTGATATAAAAGATGATTAAACCTCGTTTTTAAACACAAAAATGAGAAAAACTGCACAAATTTTAATTTACAAACTTCTCATTGTGAGCCGATTTGAGTTTCACGTTTCTCTACGTAGTAATTCCTCGTCTAACCACTAGATGGAACTCAGACGCTGCAGCTCCTGTGCATTTTGTCGCATCAAATGTAGACAAACTGCAGAAAAATGCACACACTGCAATCCAGCCAGGCTTCCTGCAGGCCTATAAAAGCTCATAATTACAGCACACAATAAAAGAGCCTTATAACCCTCTGATTCAAGACTGCTCATTCATACTGGCGAGAGCAAGAGGAGCTAAATCAGCTCAAACAGACGAGTGAAAATGAACCCATAAATAAAGATTAATCTTTTAATCAGATCCAGATTCTCGATAGGAGAAGTCAGGTTCCAGTAATGTGTTTTATTCGGAAAAATCTGGTTTAAAGAACATGCGGGTAACTGAGAAGGTTGAACACAAATAAATGTTACGTTTATATTCTCCTTTACGAATTTTGCAAAGAAAATCACCCCGACTTTCAGAGTTAGAGCTAAAGCAGCAAAAAGTGGCCAGAGCCGTGCTGACAGGTCCAGCATGGGTGTGAAACATTTGCACGACTGGTTTCCATCAAATAAAACATGAGCAAAGAAAACCTGACAGGCAGGAAGGAATCAATCAACAGCTGGAAAAAGAACGGGAAATAAGAATGAGATGCTGAGTCACAAGCAGCAGAATAGGAATGTGGTCGATGCGGTCAAGCCAAGTCGGGGGATGGGGGGTGGGGCTGGGCAGCTGCTCAGGTGTGTATAATCTAATGAGTGTGTGTTAGGGGGAGCCTGCAGGTGCATGCGGTGTGAGTTAATGACAGGAGGACGATTTCAGTTATTTCAGTCATTAAACCCAGAAATACAGAACATCCCCAATAATGTTGGATTTCAAACTAAAAGTTCATCTTAGATGCTGAAATAACTGATGCCACATCGGTGCCAGAGTCACTTTTAACTCCATACAGGGCAGGAGGGAGAGGAGGCATTGCCGAGCGGGTGAGGAAGGGTGAGAGGATGGATGAGAGAAGGGAGGGAGGAAAGATCAAAAAGAGAGATAGTTACTACAAAGCTGGTTGCAGGGGCAGACTTTTTTCACCATCTTCCCTGTGGGACCGGAAGACAACAATTGGAGGACTGGGAGAAAGTCACAGTTAAGCCCCGCCCACCCAACAATCAAACAGTGCATCTGATTGTTAGAACTGGAAGTGATCAATAAAAACACGTTGGAGGGTTGGCTAACCATTAGCATCTTAAAATCAGCTTTTATTGATAATCTGACTTATTTTCTACTTTTCGTGTTTGCACACAGTACCTATAAAAGTCACAAGACAGCTTTATCCAAGGCAACAGCCGAGAAAAGACGTTTTTAGGCTGAGAGTACAAACTATTCCTAATCTAAGGATTTGCTTGTGTCTGATGCTTTAAGATGCTTTTGGGTAACCAAACCTCAAGGTCTCCTCTCTACAGCTCAACAGGTTTTACCAGAACTGGGCTCCTGCCTGTAAAACGATTCGGTCCCAGACCTCTGACCTGCTGCCAACATCTTACAAAAGTCCAATTTAGTCAAGAATCTGTAAAATTGTCTGTCAGAGATGGTCACCAGGACCCAGGTCTGTCTCTCTCCCTTCTTAAGAGGGCAGTGATGGAGGGACCGGTAAGGGGGAGGGTGTCAAAAGGGGGTGAGGACTGAGTGAGGAAAAGAAAGAGGGGAAGGGAGAGAAAAGGCTTTGAGCTGCAGAGGGTTCAGAAGCTTCCACAAACATCTTCTTATCAAGCAAAACGGAAAAGAGAAATTCAGTTCATCACTATAGATTTAAAAAGCATTCGATATTCACTCAATATGGGGAAAACTAGCAAACGGTAGACCCAGTTTAAATAAAGAACATTTCTGACCAAAACAAAGCTACCCATAACAGAGTTCAAGTCACCAGGTCACCACTTCCTGTTTGTTTTCATCAATACAAGAATTAGAAATGGAAATTTGCAGCAATTCGTTCAGCTCCTGTACTTTTAGCTGCTGAGCTTTTCACAACATTAACTAGTTTTCTGGTACAAACGCAGCTTTATGTCATATTTAAAACTCAGGAATGCATAAATAACGACTGGTCCATTTGTTTTAGTCCTATAGGGTTTGTTGTTGGAAAAGTGAAGCTGCACACGGCACTAAAATCAGAGCACGGCTGCTCATGGTCCGATGACTTTTATTATAGGAGGCTGTCTTTATTTAGTCCCAGTCAACAGACACATCAGCTGCTCTGCTGTTGGTGTCTGTAATTAAAACACAGACTTTATTACCACCTAGAATCATGTTTGTGATCAGATGGAACCGGAACCATTAAGATGTGACCGGATTGTTTCCATGCAGCCAAACATTCACAGACAAACTCTCATTTTCATAAATGATAAATGACCCGCACTTGTATAGCTCCTCTCAGATTATGGACTCCAAAGCGCTTTACACCACAGTGTCTCATTCATCCATTCACACACACATTCACACACTGATGGTGATGAGCTACAATGTAGCTACAGCTGTCCTGGGGCGCTCTGACAGAGGCGAGTTCATTAAACTGAGTTCATTAATATTTTAACATATAAAATTCTGTTGAGTGCATTAAAGGGACTTTACGGAGTTTTGAATTTTTATGCTCGCGATTGCCCCCTCAGGCCAAAAGCATAATGGCAGCTTCAATAGTAGGCTCGTGCACGAGGCGCGCATGCTGTACGTGCACACTCCTTAAAGAAAATAACAGCTGAGACAGTCCTGTATGTGTGTGCGTGCGTGCGTGCGTGCGTGCGTGCGTGCGTGTGTGTGTGTGTGTGGCCCGGAGGACAGAGGACAGGAGAACGCGCAGCTAATTAATTAAATAATTTGGTTCTGTACCTTTCTCTTCAGCACAGCCGACAAAGGTTTATGATGGGTCAGTCCTCCTGCATGCTCAGATCATTTCTTTCCCTTGCTTGAAAAATTGTTTCAAAATGAAAGTTGAACCCACATCTTTTTTTATCTGTGAATTCAATGCCGTTCAGAGAGTCTCAAATAAAAATTTGGGCATCTTACTGTAAAAAAATTTACCATTAATGTAAAACAGAAACTCTAAATAAACTATGTTCACATCTAGAATCAAACCCGGGTCTTCTGCACAAGAGTCCGACGTCTTACTAGGTGAGCTAAAGCGCCAGTGACGTCCTTTGTATCTGTAACATTAATATCCTTGACGACAGCTGAAACAACGTTCAAAGAACGGTTCGGAGCGAAAATGGCTATTTTGTTGCTAATTTGCAGGAAATATCTAGAAGAAAGTAGCTAAGGGTCCTCAGAAATGTAGCTAGCTTTGTCACTAGGCGATAGGAACAGCGACAAAGTGGCACTGCCTCGCTCGTTGCTGCTAAAGCTACGGATAGCAAATGCTACGGGCGAGGCCTGAGCATGAACGCGCATGAAGCAGCCTGCTCGACCCGAGCATCTCTCTTTTTCTGTGATTTTACAGAAAAACAGGCAATCACAGTAAAAATGCCAGGGCTCATTCTACAGGACCAGGGCATTGCAGGAGAATGTATGAAGAAGAGATTTATTATTTCTATACATGTTTTGGCTGTCAAACTTCCATAATGCCCCTTTAAAAACAGTTATTTCCCAACATGGGAGCCCAATTAGCATCTAAACATTTTGTCTTCTACATCTGCTGTACATGCAAATGTGCTACAAGACGCTGTGTTTTGCTGAGGTTTATGCTTGATGATTCTCAGCTGGTGAGATGACAGTCATTTTTATTACTATTAAGAGATGAATTTGGGTCTTAAAGTTGTAACTCTCTGCTGAGACGAGACTCAGACTGAAACGGGAGGAGAGAAAAACGCAGGAAGAAATAGAACGCCCCACTGCAAAGGCACGTTATCCTCAAACTGAACAAAGCCACTCTTATTATTGAAGGATTTTCTTTGGACTTTGGTCACATTTATTTTCAAGTAATTCCAGAAGGTCATATACGTTTCATCCAGAGAGGGTTTCCCCCACAAAAGCTGAAAACCCCCAGGAAGAGGGGATGGCCGTGACTTGACAGATACAGGAGTAGAATAAAACAAGGTCATTCAGGATAAAAGGAGAAGAACAAAGAAATAAAGCGTTACACACAAAGAGCCAAGCAGGGCGTACTCAGAAAGCGCGTCCTCCTGCCGCCAGGCTTGAAGGCCAAACGCTCGGAACCCCAGCTGAACTTTACACAGCCTGAAGAGAGGAAGGATGGAGAAAGGAGAGGAGGAAGGATAAAACAGGAGGGGAGATGCAGAAGGATGTCAAGAACACAAAAAGAGGAGGGCAATAGAAACGAAGGAAAAGATGTAAGAAAACAGAAAGGATGTTAACGGCGAGGAATCCATCACGTTGTTTACACTGAGAGCAAACAGACCAAGAAAGATGATTTTCCTGTGAAGAAGTGATTATTAACGCTACGATCACGCTGTTTGTGTGACTTATGAGACAAAGCTGCAGCCTAGAGCACACAGCAGCATGGTTACCTGGGGTCTGAGCGTACAGGCTGGGTACAGACAGGGCCGCCTCGCTGGTGTAGGCCGAACACAGGTTGTCACCGGACGGAGAGGGTTTGAAGGGCTGGAGCACGGTGCTGCTGCCTGAATCAGCTAGACCTCCGGGGGCCAGCGGAAGCAGCTGGCCGGGGTACACGACTGGGACGCTCTGGGCGGATAAAGTACTGCCTGGAGGATTGCACAAAGCATCGGCAGGAGGGGGCAGGACACAGAAAGCGGACAGAGACGATAAAATCACAAAGAAGCGCATCAGAAATTACACAGAAGACATGAAAAATACAGATAAAACAGAAAAGAATAGCAGTCAGAAATGTTCAAGCTCCAAGCCTGATTCAGCGAACGCCGACACGCACGCGGAACAAAACAATCAACGCACAACAGTTATATGCACAAGAATGCATGAACACAGAGAGAGTGCAACAACAGAGTAATTCTTTTGGACACAATTGGGTGTAAATTAAAAAGACTTGGGTTTTCTCTTTCTATTTCAGTTTTCATGTGTTTTTGTTGACGGGCTCACCTGGCTGTAACGGACTCTTGCTGCCGTGCACGGAGCTGGCTTTGGACGATTTTGAAGACTTGCTTTTGGTCGGTCTGCGCCTCCTGCCGGCCAGCGGGATGAGTGAAGGGAGCGCTGCTGCTGGAGGAGCCTGCACCAACACCAGAGCATGTTTCGGACTGTACGTGACAGCTGATTGGATGGTAGTAACTTGCATAAGTCACCTTTCCCAGCCGTGTAAACAGATGATCTATTTCCTCTTTCTGGCGGGTATGAAGGGCCTGAATTTCACGCATGTGCCTAATAAAAGAAACAGGAAATAAAAAACAACAGTAGGTTAAGATAATAAAAACCAGAACAATAGAAAAAATGCTCAGTAAGGTGAGATAAAAGAGCCTGGATTAATCGTGAGAACTCACTTTTCTCTGAGGCGACTGACTTCCTGTTTGAAGTCCTCGTCATCTTCAAACTCCGAGTCGTTGTCACTGCTGACGTAGGAGTTATTGAAGGAGTTGTTGTTCAGACTTGGCAGAGAGGCCTTCTGGGTCGAGTCGGGTGACACAACTTGGCCGAGGCCGCTGGGTCCGTTAACGATCTGGACGGCGGGAGGAGGATTCGGGTCGAGACTCTCCGGGGCGAGACTTACCGAGAACCTTCCAACGCGAGACTCGGGGTTGGTGGTGACCTGAAATGGGAAAATGTAACATTGGACAAATGGACTCAAATGAATGGATGATGAGAAAGAAAGGATGGCAGTAAGAAGGAACAGAAGCACATAGTGAACACCTGAAAACGACCAATGGTGGTGGTGGGTTTGGGGGAGGCATGTTGGGATTTTGTTGGAGTTTTTTGTGAGAGTCCATCCACAACATCTTGATCTCCTCCCCCTCTCAGAGGAGACGAGGAGTCTTTGTGCAAAGTGTTCTCCGGGCTGGAAAGGCTGGAGGAGGAGGAGGTGGAGGACGACGATTCAGTGCGGGATGGGCGGAGGACGGCAGGCTCCTCAGTAGCTAACGAGACCTGAGCAGACAAACGCCATACAGTCAACTTATTCTGTCTTATTGTTCAAATCCCAAATGTTTAACATTCATCTGAAACGCTTAAGCACAAAGTCCATCCGTTACCTGAAACCTTCCTAATTTAATTCCACAGGCGGGAGGAGGAACAGTGGGAGATAGTTTGTCTTCTTCTGGAGAAAAGGGAACTGAATGAAGGACAATAAACATTTTCTACACACAAAAACAGCCTAACCTGTCTTAGACGTACCTGTCTGTCCTACAGCAGGTATGCTGCTGAGAGGTGCCTGGAGGAGGTGAAGGAGAGCAGATTCATTACACTGATCTGTACAACACTAGTTAAAGGTTTTCTTGTTTAAATGAGCTCACAGGGACAGTTTCTGGGCTCAGAGCTCTCCTCAGCTGGGCATCCAGGTCCTCCAGAGGCTGCTGGGACTGAAGGAGTTGGAATTAAATACATTAATGTACAGAATAATAATTCAAAGGGAGAAACAAATAAGAACGTTCTACTGAGTTTACACACTGCTACTGCTAAATCTAAACAAACACTAACCAGGATTAATAAATGCATTCTTAGTTTTGGTTTTCCTAAAACTACAAAAGCTCTGGTTACCCAACGGCCTGATGGTAAATGGTAAATGGTCTGTATTTGATATAGCGCCTTCTAGAGTCCTGGAACCCCCCAAGGCACTTTACAACACAATCAGTCATTCACCCATTCACACACACATTCACACGCTGGTGGGGATGAGCTGCGATGTAGCCACAGCTGCCCTGGGGCGCACTGACAGAGGTGAGGCTGCCGAGCACTGGCGCCACCGGTCCCTCCGACCACCACCAGCAGGCAACGTGGGTTAAGTGTCTTGCCCAAGGACACAACGACAGCGACAGACTGAGCTGGGCTTGAACCTGCAACCTTCCGATTACGGGGCGAGCACTTAACTCCTGTGCCACCGTCGCCCACTGATGCACAAAACTCTGCAGCAGTGTCTCTGCAAACGATTCCGTCCTAACAATTACCGATTTCTTTTCTTGCTCCGATACGTCCAGAAACCACAGAAACAAACGGCGACACAGTGACATTTCTGTTCTCTTGCAACTTAACCCAAAATAAACAATACTTCATAAAAACTAGGGCTGAACGATTTTAGGAAGAGACTGAATTGTGATTTTTCTAGCAGAAATTGCGATTTCAGTTCAATTCACGATTTTCTTCAAACAAAGTCACAACGCTAGCCTGCCGAGCCATCCTGCATATTAGTGAAGATGGTCTAGATTCTAATCTAGTACAACTAATCGTTCATATTAATATTTACTGTCTAATCATACAATAAAAACAGTTAATATTTTCTCCCATTATTACATTTATATCTTTTTTTGTTTATTAATGTGCTTGTGAAGCAACTCGGGACTTTTATCTAGAGAGGTGCTTTATAAAAAAACATGTTCTTGTTCTACTCCAAGGAGGAAATCTGAAGGTAGAAACAGCTTTCAAATGTATTAAATAACAAAAAGTGCACACAGTTTTTCTGCGTTACAAAGGCAGGCTGGCTGGACATTTTTCAAAGCTGTCTTTCCCTCGCTAAAACTCTGCTCTAAAGCCTAGTTCATGCTGCGGTCGGCTCCGTGAGAGAGATGCACACGCATTGAAAGAGACACTCTGACACGTTAGCTTGTGTGAACTAACGTGCGCCCTCAGAAGAATTCAAACCAGTTTTAAGAGAAGTTGAACTGTCAAGTCAACTAAAGTACGCGACTCCGCACGCACGCTGATGACACATAAACCAAGCTTTAAACCTGCTTCGATGTGGGACGAGTCTCTCGCTCTCTCACCTGCAGCGTCTGTCTCTCTCTCTCTTTCTCTCCCTCACCCACCTACAGTCTCTCTCTCTCTCTCTCTCTCTCTCTCTCTCTCTCTCTCACTCACCTAGTTTCTCCCTCTCTCACTCATCTACAGTCTCTCTCTCTCCCTCAATCACCTACAGTCTCTCTCTCTCTCTCTCCCTCACTCTCTTTCGCTCTCTCTCTCTCTCGCTCTCTCTCTCTACCTCCCTCTCTCTCTCACTCCCTTACCTACAGTCTCTCTGTCTCTCTCTCCCTCAATCACCTACAGTCTCTCTCTCTCTCTCTCTCTCTCTCCCCCTCACTCTCTTTCTCTCTCTCTCTCTCTCTCTCTCTCTCTCTCTTTCTCTCTACCTCCCTCTCTCTCTCTTTCTCTCTACCTCCCTCTCTCTCTCTCTTTCTCTCTACCTCCCTCTCTCTCTCTCACCTAGTCTCTCTCTCTCTCTCCCTCACCCACCTACAGTGTCTCTCTCTCTCTTTCTCTCTCACCTAGTTTCTCTCCCCCCCCTCTCTCTCACTCATCTACAGTTTCTCTCTCTCCCTCACCTACCTACAGTCTCTCTCTCTCCCTCAATCACCTACAGTCTCTCTCTCTCTCTCTCTCTCTCTCTCTCTCTCTCACCTAGTCTCGCTCTCTCTCTCTCTCTCTCTCTCTCTCTCTCTCTACCTCCCTCTCTCTCTCACTCCCTTACCTACAGTCTCTCTACCCCCCCCCTCTCTCTCACTCGTTAACCTACAGTCTCTCTCTCTCCACCTTCCTCTCTCTCTCTCACTCGCTCACCTACAGTTTCTCCCCCCCCCTCTCTCTCACCCACCTACCGTCTCTCTCTCTCTCTCACTCGCTCACCTACAGTCTCTCTCTCTCCCTAACTCACCTACAGTGTCATTATCGGCGCTGTGTGTAGAAAAATAAAACTGAGAAAATAACATAAATGTGCAGCTCTGTCAGCTGTGGAATTGGGCTCGGCTCCAGATGGTGCACCCCACCCCCCTCCCCCGTGCCGGCTGTTGCCGCAGCCGTAACACGGGGAAACCCCGATGTAAAAAAGAAGTTGACACAACAGATCCCGGATCAGTCAGAATCGCTATAAACCCGCAGCTTTGATGGTCCTGTGATCGTGCTGTTTGGAATCGCAATTTCGGTCCAGAAACAATAGATCATTCAGCCCAGCCCAAAACCAAGATCCCAAACAAACTTCAGCTCCAGACTGATTATCTTAATCAAACAGGACAAGTCTCACCCAGGGGAGATACATAAGCAGAGGGATTTTATAACATGACAGGTCAGATTTTTCACAAAGGAGCTGGAATTTGTGTCTCCCTTATGAGTGCACAGTTTGGATGAAAATTAATCTATTTTTAGGCCACAACATTCACAGCCACAGCAACAACACAGTCTGGAAATCAAAGTCTGTCTGCTCTCCGCTTGCCCTAGAGCGTCTTCCACCTCCGTTTCTCATCCTGCAGCTTTTTCTTTCTAACGTACATCACAATCGCTGATAATTCCCATTATCCTGCTTCAAAACAATGATCTCTGGAGTAGGTTTGACAAGACACACTTACAGAAAAAGATTAAGCAGAAGCACATAAACCAGATCCCCAAATTAGGTTTTAATAAAATAAATAAAAATTGCTGTGCTGCAGAGTATTTATCAACTGTAAAACGAGCAAAAACAAAACACCTGTGTTAGAGAAGCTCCAGGAAAAGATGTCAGGAGTTCTGAAGGAGGAGAAGAGGCCTAATCTCAGGAAAAGATGTGATGAGAGGAAAGTAAGAGAAAGAAAAACAACAGAGAAGATTAGACGAGTGGGATGTTAAAAAGGATTTTTCATGCCTGGTGAAGAGGAAGAGAGCAAGCTCCCAAGTTACATTAGTTATGACTTAGCAGTTTCATCTAAATCATGCACATCACACGTATAAATGAATAAAAGTATTATCTTTGGTTTAGTTGGTGTTGAACTGCTGCAGAACTTACTGATGTCCTGGATAAGGGAGTTTTTGATGGAGTCGTTTGAACCAAAGGCGAGGCCGGGATAACTGGAGATTTAAATCAAGTCAGAAATCTTCTAAAACAGAAGAACTAACTTTAGCAGATGAAGAAACACACTTACTGGGTTGTGCAGGGGTGGATATCGGCATCCCAGGACCCTGAATTGGTGCAGCTGACCCCAGCGTCAGGCTGGAGGGGGGCTGAGGACCGGGAGTTGTGACGGCCGTGATGGAGGCAGAGCAGGTGCCTATGGGGGACGTGGGACCCGTCACAGGAGCTCCAGAGACCAGATCGGCAGCTGGAATGTCTCCCTGGGTGGATGGCACCCCTACACCAAGATCCATGAAGAGAGAGCGCAGCTTCTTATCCAGAGCCTGAATGTCATCCGGTTTGATTATGGACTCGGAGGCGTCGCTCCTGAGAGACAAAAGAAGAGTTCAAACAAAAACAAACTGATGAAATGATGCTAATGATGAAACTACAACTAAATAGCTTCAGTTTTAACACATCGTTTACTGAGCTGCTCATATTTGAACTATGCTCAAATAAAGGTTTTAGATTTATAAATGTGCAAAAGTTTAAAACCCCTCACCTTGTGTCACAGTCTACACAGTGTGTCTGGTGTGTCTGTCCCGGCAGGGCTGCTGTCTGTGGCTGGGAGTGGACCGAAGTCGGTTGGACCAGAGGAACATTTGAGGTCACCGGCTGGAGCCCCACAAAGGTGGGAGGGCAGGGAAGAGGAGTGGTTTGGGAAGGGGTCGAGGGTGTAAACTGGGGACCAGGGATGGCGGTGGTGGGAATAACGGGAGGGGGGGAGAGGGAAAATATCAGGGAGGAAGTCGGAGAGGCTGAGGGGTGATCTGACGAGACTTCACCGGCTGAAAGGATGGAAGAAGGAGGTGAGGATACGACGGGAGGAGGTTGGCTGGGGGGAGGAGAGGTGAGAGCTGTCGGGGGAATGCTAGCGATGTTGGCTGTTGGTAAAGTTGAAGGTACTGATGTGGCGGTGACAGCAGGAAGTGTTTGAGACTGGGTGTAAGCCTGAGGCTGAATCTGTGCTGGTGGTTGGGACACGGCCTGCATCATCGGCTGGGAAAGAGCCTGCGACTGAGAGGTGGTCTGGTGTATCAAGGTAGGGGGAGGAGATGAGGAGAAAGGTGGAGTGAGACAGACAGGAGGGACAGAGGAGGGGGCGGAGGATATGGAAAAGGGTGGAGGAGAGGTTTCCAGGATCTGCTCCTTGGTCTGACTTAAATTTAAAATCCCATCAGCTGCATCCACAGTGGGAGTCACTGTGCTGCTAAGAGAGGGGACTGCTGCTGCTGCTGCAGGGTGGAAGGGAGGAAGGGTGGAGTGGATGGAGGCTGGAGCCGTGCTGGGACCCGCGTCAAACTGATTTTTGTTCTGTCTGAGCTCAGAGAAGGCTTGCTGTAAGGTGATTGTTCCTGCAGACTGGGACAGCCCCAACACCTGGTCTGAAGTCTGAGGCTGAGCTGGACGAACTGAAAAACATGTAAACATAAATTTTAGTTCACAATGGTACGAGGATGTTTAATTAAAAGCAAAGATCGAGTTAATTTACCTGCTTCAACATGAGATGCAAGAGAAAGTGAGGGTGGAATCGTTTGTTCCTTCAGCCTGTCTTCAGGTACGGGACTAACAATGAATCTGCGACCAGCTGAATGAACCACTTGTGCTGTTGCACTGGGAGGGATGTCTGAGAAAAAAGGAGTATCAGAGAAAATACTAATTTATACATGCAAAGTAAAAGCTACATCACAAGGTGTTTGTGACTTTAAAGCTTTTTATTTTTTACCGGGCATTGGGGTAGACATCACAGGAATGTGCTGCTCTGAGCTGCCCACCATCTGCACATCAGTCAGAAAATGTTTTTGCAACTCAGAGAGAAACAGGAAGGCTGATGCTGCAGAACTTGGCTTTTTACCAAACACATTTAAAAACAATTCCAAAACTGGCAAGGAACAAAAACCCTCTTTACCTGACTATTAGCATCTCTTTCCAAACCCTTCTCATCAGCATTCTTGATTACTTCTCTGACCTGCTCAATGAAGGACTCCCGCTCACTCTCCAGAATAAACTCACTCTCCACCTGAACAAACACAAACACTCATTTAAAATGACATACTTATTTAATTAATGTATTATTGTTATACAGACACCAAGAAATCGGACGCCCGATTAGGGTGGAAGGATTAGAGTACAGCTGTTACATCTATGTCAGGTGTGTGGAACACGATCCAGGTGAAACTGGAGTTTGATTTGGATGTCAGATAGTGTAAAGACTAAAATACCATCTATTTGTCTCGGACATCACAGCAGAATGCTTAAAAAATATATTAGAGACAATAAAAATGAATATTAAAGAGCCTGCATCATAAAGAGAGACTAAGCAGTTTTGGCTTGCTTTTAGCACCCCCTAGTGGCCGTGTGTGGAACCGAAAGCAAACCCCATCTCTTTGCTATTTGTAACACCTTCATCTAATCGCTGAAATGTCTCCCCAGCTTTCCTGGGTGTCTACAGGAGTGACTCATCACTAAATTAAACAGTCCCAACAGAGCGGCCCACCAGTTAAAAGTGTCATATTCTGGCCACAGGGGGCGATAGGGGCTGGGTGGCCTTTCATTAACCCTGTAAAGGGTCATTTTAGCACAAACTATCTCAAGAAAATGTCTTGCAAATATGAAAAATTTGAAAAGTATCCCTTTAAGTAAACATTAAAGGATCCAATATAGTTATTCATTTTGTGTTTACCATGATCTGTGCAATCTCCTCAGGGTTGTCTCCATCCAGATCAAATCTAAACGTTACCATCTTCCTGTTGTGCGTCTCCAGCTGACACTCTGCTACCCTGTCGCCTCGGTTGGAGATCTGCATTCAGTAACACACACACATACGCACACACACACGCACACACACACACACACAATGAAATCAACGAGTACAGTAGGTATATTTTATTTAATAAATTCATTCTTATTGTCATCTGAATAAGTCTGAGCTGTGTTCTTACACTGAGGACGTGGAGTTTGGCCTTTGATGTCTTCTCATGGCGCGATCGACTTCTCACAGAACGCCTCTGATGTCGTTTGGTGGAGCGCCCTTCGTGACGGCCGCCTCCTCCCTCGTTGCCGTCACTCAGGCCCGATGTCTCGGAGTGGCCGCTGAGGTGCAGTTAAAACCAGCGTGAGCGGCAGCATCAGACAACTCGAGTCTGACCCAGAACTGGATGCAATTCTGAGCTTACCTTTCTATGGATGAGAGAACCTGAGGCGGCTGTAGCTGGCCCTGCGACAGCTCTGCAGACTGAGAGGCTGACTGAAACACACAGACAAGAAAATGTCCATAACAACATCCGGGCTTTATTCTTCACCATGGTGTGGAAAGAAAATAAAGCAGGGGATTGTGAAAAATTAGAAAATTCATGAAAGAAGAGGACAAAAGTAGCTGTAAGAAGACTATTTAAAAGGCTAAAACAAAGTTAATTAAGGGAGAGTAATTAACACATGACAAAAATGTATCCAAATTGGGCCAAATACTGACAAGAATATGTTTTAACAAAGCACACATGAAGCACCTTTAACTGCCATTACATTCTGAAACCACCTGCCAAGAACGGGATTCTCTACGGCTTCTAACAGGTGCTCAACATGACACCCACGTGGTGGATTTGAACATAACCGGTACCTTGGGAAGGGCTTCCATGGGAGTATCAGGTGGGGCGGAGACCACATTGATGACTGGCACCACAGTGGCCAAAGGCTGAGGTACAGGTGTGGGTACAAGAGGAGGAAGAGGAGAGGAAACAACTGAAGGTACCACCCCAACAGGGACTGGCAGAGTAGAGGGAGGGGAGGCCACGACGGCTTTCGGTACGGCCATGGGAACAGGCAATGGAGAAGGGAGGGTCACCAGGGGAATGGTAGAGGTCGTTGGGGTTAAACTGGGCTGGAAGGATGGTCAGAGAAAAGGATAGGAAGGGCAGAGGAAATAAAGACGAGGTTGAGAAGGAGGAGAAGCCAGGAAAAAAAAAGGAAAAAATGCCAAAAGGATAAAAGGGAAGTAGATAAACCTACGCTCAATAGTCCCTACAGTAGACACTAAGCTTAACATTTAGCCTTTTTGATCTACACAGCCTGGCCCAGAAAAAGTCACCACCAAATAAAAAAAAGGTTGCACAATAATATTCTGTTGGACCGCCTTTAGCTGTGATTATGGCACCCACTCGATGTGGCGTTGTTTCAATAAGCTTCTGCTATGTCACCAGACTTGTTTCCATCCAGCGTTGCATTAATGTGCCACCAAGATCTTGCATTGATGATGGTAGAGTCTGACCGCTGCACAAAGTCTTCTCTGGTCATTTAGTATATTCAGGTAGTCAGCTGACCTCATCCTTGGAGCACATCCTGTTGCTGAACCTAGACCAGACCAACTGTGGCAAGCCCAGATCATAGCACTGCCCCCACAGGCATGATGGGTGCCTCTCTTCTTACCCTGATGCACCGTCACTCTGGAACAGGGTCCTTCTGGACTCATCAGACCAGTTTTTAATGATGCGTGGAAAGTTCTTACCCCAGTTTTAGTCGTTTCTGCAACCTCCTCAGACGTTTTCTCTGTTTGATGCCAATGATTTGACCCTGCTCAAATGGACTAACTTTCCACATGGTTGTTTAGAAAATGAGAAGCAACTCATTGCGCCAGCTGGGGTTAAATAAGTTGTGGCCAGCAAAAATGATCCAATAGGAGGCTCCTACCTATTTGCCTATTTAAATCAAAGTGGCAACTTTTTTTGGGCCGGGCATTTCTGGAACTATCTGAAAAAGACCCATACATAGAAATGCTGCTGTATAGATATTTGTAAACTCTGCCAAAGCTCCGAGTTAAAGAGTCTTTATGTGCAAAGCTGTCCTGTTTAATCTCGATGATCAGGTTTAGGGTTCGTTTTGTCTATATTATTTACTTCTAATTTATAATAACATGCACCTAAGAATGATTGTGTCATGTTCACCATCGCACAAATTGAATGACAATATTTTAAAATTTATGTATAATGCAAACAAAAGGAACGTACCTGCAGGATTAATCAAAAGATTTACAAAAAGACATAGCAAATATGATCTAAAAGGACATGAATTATTTAACATACCTAGACATCGGATACTCATAAAGGAACATTGTGTGTCCATATATGGAGTTAAATTGTGGAATAAATTAAATACTGAAATCAAGAATGCAAAAACAATATTGACTTTCAAAAAAAAGGATAAAAAATGAAATGATTAACTTATATAGATCCGTTACAAAAATGTGTGAGGGAAGGGGGGTTGGGGGGATGAAAGAAAAAAAAAAGAAAAAAAAAAAGGAAACAAGTCTATGTATTCATTTGTGTATATATGTATGTATAGAGGTCTACAACTTTATGCTTCTCTCTGTGTAACTCGTTTTCTCTTGTTTTTTCGATTCATGGGTTGAGATTGTGTGGGCCAACCAGTCCAGGAACTATATTGTTCAATTTTTTTTGTATTAATGTTATTTTAGTTTAAAGGGGCAGATAACATAATTCAATTCAATTCAATTCAATTGAAGATAACATAGGTTTTTCTTCTTTCTGTCCCCTTTTTCATTTTGGCTTGTAGTAATTTTTTCTGTATTTTTATTTTAATGTCAATAAATGAAAAATGAAATAAAGAAAAAAAAACATCACACGGATCTACAACTACATTCAACAGTGCTCATATGCACAGACACACAACAATGGAAACACAATCACCTGATTATGGTGACACCAGACACAGTGATACCTGAACTAGAGTTTGATGAGCTGTTTGGTACAAATAATAAAGGTGTTCAATGCTGGGAGAGGGGCTGAAGAACTACACACAAACACACACAAATGTAAAAATAAAATAAAAACACGGAGAAACAAACCCGACGGTCAACCACAGGCAGCGGTACCATAACCAGGTAAGATACAGGAAGATAAAAAAGCAAAAGAAATGAACTCAGCTGTGGATGTGAGCAGAACACGCAGAAAACACAAACAAACTTTATGAAAGGAAAGTACATTCATTTCATTGCCTCTAGTTTATTTGCTAATTTGCATATTCCAAGGTGTGTAACATTTGAAAAGTTATCAAATCCCATCTGCCACCTCTTTCACAAAACACATTGTGTTTTTACTAAAATGTGAACACATTTAGAGACTATGCAGGTTTCCCACTGTGTATTCTCATTAAGGCTGGACAATAAAACAGGGCATGTGACTTAAACAAGATGTCACAGCAAATGGAGAAGAAGAGAATGTCCAAAAAAAAGGGGTTACAGTCGTTCACCAGCATGGCAACATTTTTGTTTTTACAAGTTTAAAACAAAAAACAAACCAAATAAAATAAATCAATAAAAACAACAACAGTTGTTTGCTAAATTTGCAGAGAATCGATCAAAACCAGGTCTGGTAACACAACCAACTGTAATGACGTAAATGGTCAGGGCTGCACTTAAAATATATATTCTACATTTTTTTAAGTAATCAAGAATTATTGATATTGATTAATATGAATTTATTGATATGTGTTTTTCTATCTCATCCAGCCTTAATTCCCATTTTGTAAATGTGCATAAAAGCATAAAATTGAATGCCAACACGTGCTTTCATGTAGCATCTTTAAAACACAAGGCTCTAATGAAGACTTAGCACATGCTAGTAAACACCTGACTCTATAAATACTAAAAGTACCTGTGCGGTTGCCTGTGGGAGAGGGGTGTGTGTGGGGCTCTGCAGAGATGTACCACTCTGACTAGATGACACAACCTGGAAGGAAGACACAGAACGCAGTGTCAGGAAAAAACAGATGGTAGGGAAAAATAAACGAGTAAAACAATGACTCCTAGGGAAAAATAATGATATGAAACCCTTAACGATTAATTTAATCAGACTGGGTTTGCCAGTCTAACAAAATAATACATTCTAGTTTATTTAAACTGAGAAATGGCCTGTATTTGATATAACACCTTCTAGAGTCCTGGAACCCCCCAAGATGCTTTACAACGCAATCAGTCGTTCATCCATTCACACACAGATTCACACCCCGGTGGTGATGAGCTACATTGTAGCCACAGCTGCCCTGGGGCACACTGACAGAGGTGAGTCTGCTGTACGCAGGCGCCACCGGTCCCTCCGACCACCGCCAGCAGGCGAGGTGGGTTACGTGAGAACAGGAAACAGTCTCATTCTGAAACATGGTAAATAGTTGCTAATATGTGGTTGAGGTTTTTCTGCATACATATATGGTACAAGGTAGGAGGTGGGATGATTAAATGTTTTCTGGGTCGTTTTCTTACCTGCTGTGATGTCCCAGGGAGATCAGACTGGGTCGTGACTGGGACCAGAGGGGGTCTGGGGCCAGGCTGTGGGGTGGGGACCTGGACCTGGACCTGGACCGGCTGCTAAGAAACAGATTCAAAGAAAGGCAAGAACAGAGAGAGATGGTGTGGTGTAGAGCAGAAACAAAAGGAAGATGCAGGTGAGAAACCAAGAAATATCAAGAAGAAAAAAATAAGAAGCAATCAGTCAATGTTTGTAGCTTCCAACACAAAAATGTAGACATGAGTGCAAACACAAGGTACTTCCAAGTGATCTAGCTCCTCCTCTTGTGTATGCACGCATGCACAAAGACAACACTAATCCATCCAGCAACAGTCGTATGCACACCAACATCTACTGTATCCATATACAGCAACGGTACAGGACAGTACTGGGGTTAGGCAGGGTGTCAGTAGGAGTTTAAACATGCAGGTAAGAACTTCTGGGACTGCCAGCAGTAATAAGTGGGGGTTACATAATATAGTACTGTACAGTATTAAAACAGACAAATGTAAAACTATGTTTGAAGATGTTAAAGCACTTCCTGCTGTTTGACCTACCCTCCCTCATCTTGGCTGACTATAATTTCAAAAGTGGTTCTTGAAACAAAAAAGGGAGAAACTGACCTAAAATATTTGAACAACCTTTAGATTTTGTCATTTCTGATGACAAATGTTTTGATTGTGGTTCTAAAGAACGCCAGCGTACAGGACACGTTAAACGAACCCTTAGAAGGCTGCGTGCAACGCTGTACATGAAACTTTAAAGTGTAAAAAAAGGTTCAGCAGGTTGCACCGGACACTACCTACCTTTATATAACACCACGGTCAACAATGTAGACAAAGAAAAGGCTCACAAAATCAAACTCCGTACAAAAAACGGTATTAAAACAAGACAAAAACATGAAACTGATGTTGAATTATTATTTTTTGAATAAAAACAAGAATCTAAAGAAGGTGCAGTCACAATAGGTGGCTGAAAGTAAATCAAAGCGATAGAAGAACAAACACCAGCATTCTAAGGGTTTAATTTGCTCAATGTGATCTTTGAATCTTTCAGTCTGGACAGGAAATGGCAACATAACATGCCTGAAAATAATGAAAGAGAGGCTTTGAACAGCCAGGTTGCTCAGCCTTTCCAACACAAATATAACACACGAATCTCTACATGGTTACACTGCTTACTGTGTCTAAGCCCTCTCAGTTTTTGTTGTATGTTTCTGTGTGTTTGTTCGTACAAATCAACAAAGTCTTGCAGATTTACTACCCTTCAGTAATCCCATTAACAGCCTCGGCCTAGATGGATGGTGAATAATTTGTATTTACTTAAGACGTTCATCTTTTCTGAAGCACATGTTTGAGTCTTTACTAATGACTTAGCAGACTTTGAACTTGTACGAGTAAAATTTAAGTATAACAGAGAATCTGCATACCTATACAAACACACATTTTTCATATACTTTCATATATGAACATACAGACAAAAGATTACTTACTCAGTACTGACTAAATAAATCAAAACATAAACAGCATGGAGGGGGCTTAGACCGCGTCTAAAGCTTTACCACCAGAGAACATCTCAAAGTCTACACTTTGAATAGTGATTATTATGTTTAATCAACAATAATTACTGTTATATTAGACATGAAATGAAATGTTCTGGTCTTTTCCAGATTCAGCACGAGCTGTGTCATCTTCTGTAAGCTATTAAATTAGCTTTGACTGCCGCGTTCCATTGAGCTCATTGTACATTTCCATCCAGTGCAAGGGAACACTGAAAGGACACCTAAAGTCAGACAGTATTATGGTAGACCGTGAGACTCTCTCTGTGGTGCTGATTTGACTGTAGGGGGTTAAAATCACAATGAAACTACAGGATGACAAATAAGCATCAGCTTGGGGGGGTTGGGTCAAGGGGGGGGGGGGGGTAAAACAACAGGGATTTGTAATACCGCCTCTGGGTCAGATTACTAAATGTAATTCAATTAAGCTACTTCTTGGAATGATTCGTCTAACTTAGCGGATTCTACCGTTTCCCGTTGTGGTTGATGACCTTAAGGGGAAAACCATAACGAATGGTTAGGAGTGCGTTTAGAATATTAAAAATCCTAAACCATTCCTTTAGTTCATTTTAAAGGTAAAGTAGAGGATCTTTTTCTTCCAGGTGGATCATCTGAACCATTAGAATGCTTAACTGTAAATAATTCTGGCGAAGCTTTCACGCAACGCCGTCGTCGTACGTGCTTGTTCCTGGGTTGGCTTTCACTTCCTGCGCGTGCTCATTCCGTTTACGTGTAGAGCAATATGCCTTCATTCCTAGTTGTTCTCACCGGGTTCTTTAGAAAATGGCTGAGAGTCGCAAGAGAAAATGTGTCTTCGAAGTCTATGATAAGAAGAAAAAGGCCCCCGAAGTGATAAATAAGACCAGAGTTTATTAGGAGACTCTTCTCAACGATAGCGTGCGCTGAAAGCGAAAGTTGAGCTCTCCAAAGACGCCTCCATTGCCAGATTTCTGCTCGACAGGTAAGCTAAAGTTCGGCGTGCTATTTGGAGAAATTCATGTCAGATTACTGCTAGAAGTGCTGCAAGGCCGGCAGCTACTTGCAAACAGAGCGTGCACGAGGATAGCGGAGTGTTCTGTCTCATGCGCATGTTTTCAAAACGTGGAGAGGTTGGTTCTTTCCTGAAATTCAGAAAAATCCTCAGCAATACCTTTAAACCTGTATAGCAGTATAAAAGAAGCCCCTTGAATGATTTAATTTAGTAAGTAACCCAGAGGTTTGGCGGGTATTTCTGAGGTCTAAACTTTGTACCAGAGGGGGGTTAGCAGCCTGCATGGCCAGCAATGACTCATGGTACGTCATGTCAGGTTGGGCTGGTATCACCCCTCCGTGCCGAGGCCAGGCACTCCGCATCAGAGACTCCAGCTGAGTCGATGTAGCGCTCCCAAGTGGGAGCTCGGACGACGGGGTGGGGGGAAAAAAGTGCTGCACCGACAGCGGATGTCCCTGGGGATCCCCATGAAGTACTCCGCCTGACGAATCATAATGTGAAGTGGATGAAGAGCGAGGGATGGACTGAGCTGCTGAGGAGTCAAAAGGAGGGGGAAGAGGTGGAGGAGGGGGTGACTGGAACTCTCCGGCATCAGAGGAAGCCAGAGAGTCACTTGATGGTTCGGGACTTTTGTCCTTCAAGGTTCCAACAGCGTGGTGAAGAAGAAGGTTTCCAGGTGGTAATGGGAGCTCTGGACTAACATATGCGTACAGCTCCTCTGTCACTGGCTGGAGACGACTGTATGATCCGGAACCACCAGACCCTGTCCCAGAGCTGTCCTCCAGGGGGAGGTCCATGGAGCTCCTTCTGGCTCGGTAAAGTCTGGATGCCAGGAGGCTAGGGTCCCCAGCGGCGGCTGCAGCTGCAGCAGCTAGATGGAACTCAAAGACACTTCCAGTAGGTGGAGGAGCATCCGCTATAACTGGAGGTGCAGAAATGGGGAAGGAAGAGGAGGAAGCATGCTGTGGTGGGTAGCATCCTTCAGATGATGATGAAACAGAGCCACCTGTTGCTGCAGTCATGGGTGTGAAGGATGGAGGTATTGGACTGTGTGCGCTCATTCTTTGCAGAATGTGGGGGTGCAAGAATCCTGGTTGAGGAGGAGGACCAGAGTCAAAGCCCAAACCAGCAGCTGCTGCTGCCTGCCTCTGATGGTGGAAACTCAACTGGCCAAGCTGATGAGCAGTCATGGGATATCCTCCATACGCCATCGCTTCATAATGGTCCAATAAGGCAGCTTGATTCAGACTTAATCGCCTAACTGCCTCCTCGTGTTCAGCCCTCATGTCTTTATACCCATACAGACTTGGATCAGACTGTCCTGGTAGATGCAGAGGTTCCCCAGCGCCGAGTCTCTGAGCTGCTGCTGCAAAGCTGGGGTTGAGCATAAAGAGAGGAGGAGTCTCAGCACAGTCCATCCCCGCCAAGGGGTGAAGGTTGCTCCCGTAGCGAGGGTAGGCAGGCTGGAAGTGTCGGGTATGCGCTTCGAGAATGGAGGTGCTCTTGCGTCTCTGGGTGTTGTAGCCCTTTGGAGGCCCAGTGGGAGGAGGCGAGAAGGAAATGGGGCGCTCAGGAATGGGAGGGAAGAAAATAGTTGGAGGTTCTGGATGGGTTGGGTGAGGGATGCTCCCTCCTGTGCCTCCTCCACCTGAGCTTGCTCCTCCACTGAAGGGGTGTGGCACTGAATGCTGCTGTGACAACGAAATACAATGGATTTCAAAATAAGGCTCAAGAGAACGACAAATCGACAGCAAAGGCCACACGAAATAAAGAAATTAGAATCAAAAAGTAGGAAATAAAAAGAAAACCAAATTAAAAAGGTTTATATTCATCCTTCAAATTAAAAGCCAGTAAGGTAAGAAACAGATGGTTTAAATCAAACACCGGTACAGCTGCAGCACAAAGACAGACCTTACAAAAGCCAGGCAGGTGGAGAGACCCAGAAGCTCACAGATGAGAAAAAATGTAAAAAGCTTTAAAAGAAACACAAAATGTCGTCTTTGAGTTTAATATTCAGATGCATCTTCAATTAGGAAAAATGTTGACCTTTCTGAGATTTTCTAATGAATCAACATTGGAACGATGTATGAAACAAAACTTCACCCTACGTCACAATTTGGCTTGATTTTTGTTTATTTAACAGAAAAACAGCAGTTTTCTGATTGTAGATGCAACTGATATTAGACTTCTGTACCAACAAGCATAATTATGGCTTGTGACACTCAGTTTGAATTTAACATGAGCACAAGATGACCTACAAGAGGAAGAGAGAGTTAAAGATAAATGGAAGCATCGTAATTCCCTTTTTACACGTTGTAGATGGATCTGATCTCGTTGTTTTGGAACACGAGCGCTACGATGGAAATATCTGAAGCAGTTCTGGAAAGAACATCGATAGTTCTGGGGAAATAAATGCCCCAAAGCACATGTGGGTTGGGATAAACCTCTCTGTATTAAGTTTGAAAGAACAATAAAAATAATAATAATTAAAAAAAAATGCTCCATTAAAGAAAAGTGGATGATTTTATTGATTTTAGTCTCTGTATTAGGGTGTTTGTTATGTACATTTCAGAAAGTAAAACTGTCCTATTTTTGTGAAGCCTGACACAAAAACTGCTAATCAGAGCAGAAAATTTAAACTTAAAGGGAGACTAGGCAGTTTTGGCTTGCTTTTAGCACCCCCTAGTGTCTGTTTGTAAATCCAAAAGCAAAACTTATCTTCTTGCTGTGCGTTTGTCTTTTTAACACCTTAATCTAAAAGCTGAAACGACTCCCCAGCCTTCCTTAGTGTCTACAGAAGTAATTCATCACTAAATTAAACAAACCAGCTGTGTTCATGATCTAAAGCATGCAGGAAAACTGCTAGAAGCAGAATGCAGCACCAGGTATGTAACCTCCATCTTTTTCTAAGTCCAACAGACGGAACCGGCACAAATTTTGGCCACGGGGGGAGATAGGGGCTGGGTGGCCTTTCATTACTCTGTAAAGGGTCATTTTAGCACATACCGGCTCAAGAAAGTGATTTTAAATGTGAAAAACTTTCAAATTGTCTCCTTAAAATGTATAAAATAAAAATTTCTACTAATATTACGCCATTAGATATTAACAAGGTGTGCTAGCTCACCCCTTTATAAAAATATACTCGTGTTCCTGTTCCTTGTTTTCTGCACAGTAGAGAAATAAAAGGAAAGCTGTTTTTGTTTACCATTTATATAAGTGTATCAATCTGTTAGCAGCAGCGTAAACAGCTTGAATGAGATTAAAAGTATCATTAAAATGATTTTTCTTTTGTTTATGATTTCTGCTAATCTGACCACTTCGTAGACTCACGTTGATGTACTCATGAGTATGTTGTTTGACGCCTTGGAGTTTATATATTTGATCACTTTAATGTCCTTTATTGTGTTTTCTGTGATAAAATGGGATTTTTAATCTCTTTTTCACTGTTAAATAAAGGTCAAATAAAAAATGTCTATAAAATAATTTCTGCGTTAAAGCTTCCACATCTTTTCCCCTCTTTCCTGTTTGATTCTCACCACCACTGGGGATTGCGTTTGTGAACCTACAGGGGTGGAGAACAGGGCGGGCAGGCTGGCCCTCCGCTGCCTGGCCCTGGGCTGAGAAGAGGCGGAGTGAAGGGGTAGGACCGTCTCCAGGGCTTTAGAGAGGCGGCCAGCAAAAGTGTCCCTCTCAGCTGCGAGAGGTACGCAGGGGGAGGTGGCGGAGGTGTGGGAGGACAGGTCTGGAGGAGGTGAGGCGGGCCGTTTTGGAGGAACCGCCAAAGATGAAGGAATATGAGAAAAGGAGTACGAGGATGGGGGGATGCAAATAGACATGCTACGACTTCGACTGCCGTGTGGTACAGGCTGCAGGCCGAGGGGGTGTGGGGGGGGGAGGAAGAAGGTGAGACCAACATAAAACAACAAACAAAATAAAGTTACTGAAAGGGAACATGACAGAATGGGCAGTGGGAAACCCAGATTAACTGAGAAAAATAAATCGTTTAAATATTAACAAATCAACATTTCAGTTGTGTGGAAAAAATGACATTAGAATCAAAATAAATGAACCAATTCTAAAGGACGCCTTTAAATCTGCTCACTTCAGCAGCAAATTAAGGCAACAGAGAAACGTTCTGAACTCTTCTTTGTAAAAACAATTCTTTTAAAGAATAGAAAAAAAACAAATACAAGAACAGCAAAGAAAAACAACCTGGAAAGAAGAAAACGGTAAATAAAAATCCCCTTTAAATCAGGAGGGGGGAAAAAAACCCCACCATAAATAAAAATCAGAGCTCCAAACGGATTAAGAAGGTCTTCTAAGGAAACAGATCTTCTACTTTCTGAACCTTGTGGACTCCAAACAACTTTTGATGGTTTGCATGATTTTACTTAACGACGGCCCGCGAAAGAGTCAAACCCGCGATTAGCTTATTAAGACCGACGGCCTCTGACCCTCGATCGGCCCAACCGTCAACCAGAACCAAAAATCATCTCACCGTACTTTGACTCGTCACTAGTTGTTTACTGTCCAGGAAGAGATTGTGATTCGAACAAACACTAAATAAGGAACTAAAATCCCTGATCTTTCACTATATGAACATTTAACACGAAAGAATCAAAACACTGAAGTTAGAAAACAAAACAGCAACTGAATAAAATGTAAGTAAAGAACTATAAATGTCTTGTTCTAATCAGTCACGGAGAGTTTGTGGACAGAAAATTATAAAATTTCTGAAATGTCGGGAAAAAAAAGTTGCAACATCTTGGAAGTTGAAGAAAAGATGTCCGACTCAATCTGACCTGCTCGGTAACTAAGTGAATAACGAGCTAACTGGGTAAAAAAAAAAGAACCAGTTGATTGGATTACCTGTTGGTTAAAATGTCTATTAGAATAAGTTAAATGTTGCACACTTCATGCATCGCTGTTCCTCCTTTTTAAATTCAAAATGCTAAATCTCTTCCAGCAGTTCCACTTCCAAACACGGCAAACTCCATTCCAACTCACTGCAGCCTACAACACCTCAAACGGACAAACTCGTGTCTAACACGTCGGCGAGCTGACAGACATCCAACAGCTCACAGAAGTAGTGTCACTTACCATCGGCTGCGGCGGCGGCTGGGAAAACCCTGGGTGTTGCTGCGACGCAGAAGCGGGAGTTGGGGGATAAGGGGTCTGGGGTTGGGAAGGGGGCTGGGAGGAGGGGGGACAGCTGTAAGACATGGTCAGCTGACCCAGGTGGGGGGAGTCCGAGGAGAAAACCAAGGAGCCCTGTCCGCTGTCCACGCCCCCTTCAGCTGAGAAACAAACAAACATTTTGGTTAAACAAACTAAATCAAGCAACAAGGACATCTGCGGAGGAGACTTTCTGGTTTTTACGTCTCACATGTGTGAGAAACGCTGGTCTGCTGGTGGTGGATCAGGTGCTGCTCCGGCTCCGGCTCCTCTGCTTTTGACTGTAGGAACACAGAAAGGGTCAGGATTATCAGATTTAGTGAATTAATCTACAAACCTCCACAGAATAAGGCCCGTGTGGATTAGAGATAACAAAGAGAGGACTTCAGGAAAAACACAACTAAACGCTGCGGCGATACCCAACTGCACCAACTAACCTGAGACTGAGAAGCTTTGAATGTCTCTTGTTTCTGCTTCTGTTCTGCCTCTAGTTTCCGTTTCTCCTGCTCCTCCCGCACCAGCTGCCTCTGCTCTCTCTTCTTTAGGATCAGAGACACGCGGTCCTTGATGGCCTTGGCCATGGTCTTGTGGTCCGCTTCAGCAACATAGCCAGACTCCACCTTGGGAGTTGAAAGACACGAGCCACTTCACCTCCAAGAAAACCAAACCGGTTCACCTCGTTTTCCTGAACTTACCATTTCCTGCGCCACATCTTCAGGAACGTCCTTGTTGAGGTCAAAGGAGAACTCGATGGCTTCGTTGTCTTTATATTTACCTGTATGAAATACTGCTGGTCAGCCACTGACACTAAGGCAGCACGTAACAGCTGTCACACTGAAATCAGAACAGTTAATGCTCGACAGGTTTACGAATCCTTGCCTTTCAGCTTCTTCACATCTTCTATTCTGAGCCACAGTTTGATAGCGATCATTTCCCCATCGTCCTCCTCTGCAAGTTCCACCCTGACCCCCGTCTCTTCCTGGAAGAATGCGTGGTTCAGCAGAGTCTTGATGGCATACCTGGAGAGATGGGATACTTTTAATGACTTCTTGACACATTTTTATGCTAGATGTTTGAGCACACGCTGGTCTGAGCCGATATCAGACTTGTTTACTACCAGAAAAAGACAAAGAAGACATCACCTAACATGTTTAATACCTGTTGGAGTTACTTTATGGTTCATTTAGTCAATATTAGAAGGCCTTTAGAACATGAAACACTTGGTGAACCGAAGAAAGTTAAAATAAAATCACCCTGGAAACATCAAAACCTCCAAAGCCAGTTGTTTTTGTGACTCACCTCTCATCTTTGTTTGTTCTGATGCAGCCCTCTATAATTTCCTTCACCTCAGGAATGGCCACCTTGTCAAAACTGGCTGGCTTTACTCCCTAGGCAAGAGAAATGAAGGAACGGTGAAAAGGGAAGCTTCTAGAGATTAACACAAAGGTAGTTTTTCATCCAGGCGGGCATTGCCTCTGCAGACGTTTGGTACTCAAGTACACATCAACTACATTAAACACATGCAGTCCAACAATTATTACAGGAGACCCGAGGTAATCGAATCCCAACGTAAACCCTGCAGAAGGAGTGAATAATGCATCAAAACCTCTCGGAAGGAATTTAGGAGGTCACGAGTGACCTTTAGAGGGATAACAGTCACAGACACAATCAGCCACTCAGGCGTTCGACACCAAATAAAGCTGCTGTTGCTGAATAATAATAAACAGAGAAAAGACCCCATGTAGAAAAACATGAAGTCCAATATGCATTCACACACATTCACACAGCAGAAGGGTAAAAAAAAAAATCCCATATTTTCATACATTTCTATTGCGTTTAAGTAAGTGGGAACAACAAACACACAGAATGCTGCTAGATGTGTGTCGGTGTGTTATTGTCAGCAAAACCAATTGTTTGTTTCACCGTTAAATCTTCTAGTCGTGTAAAGTCCTGACAGTTAAAGAAATGACATGTCGTGCTGAAGGTAAGCCGATAAAATAGCATCTTATGAAAATATCTGTTTCGTTAAATGAAACAAAGTGAGCGGCTAAGGCACCCACCGACTTAAAGAACATAAACGATCATCAAAGCAGCAGAAATCTGAGTTACTAAGCACACTAGATACGGATCGTTTAGAGACTAATAGAAACTTACCAAAGGAGCAGTCAGAAACCAGAGGAAGAACAACAAAAGACTTCTGTCTACACTTGTTGATTAACCAAGTTTGTTCATTTTAACCCTCAATCCCAAAGTCACCACTTCCTTCTGCTCTTCCTCTTGTTTTTCTCTTCTTCCTCCCATGTTTTCCTCTGGCTCACCCACCGGTTCGTCATTATATAACCCTCATCTCTGTGTCACACACACACACACACACACACACCAGTGGCTCAGAGGTCTAACAACGTTAGGAGTGACTGGGGTGTAATGGCATTAGGACTGACATAAGCAGAAAGGGATGGAGAGAAAACTTGCTTTAGGTTAATTGGGAGTTAGGAATGTTCAAGAGGGTAAAACACAGATTCTAGTCAACAACACAGTTGGTTAAAAAACCCTGTCTGGTCTCTCAGACATGCCTGACAGAAAACAGAGAAGGATTTTTAGTTATAAGGTAAAACCAGCCATTATTTAATAAAACGAAAACATCAGTAAAATGTTTAAAACAATGAGACGTCTACACGTTTTCTCTCTAAAAGGTCTGCCCCCACAGGGAATGGCTGGACAGATGCTACAGCACTTCTATCTCTAATTAGGCCAAGTAAACACGTGTAGCTCGTGTTTATTTAAACGGTAAAACCACCGAAAAGGCTAAGTAAATACTAAATCTGAGAAATAAAACAACAAAACTAAAGAGTTTGGTCTAAAATCTAAAAACAGGTTTGGAACCACTAACTAGATTTGGATCAATCAATCAATCAAATTTTATTTGTATAGCACCTTCTACAACATTATCCGAAGCCCAAGGTGCTGAACAACATCATTAAAAGAAAAACATTCCCAGTACATGGGCATAAAAGCAGGATAAAAACATAAAATCATAAAATATCAAGCAAACACTATTACAGATAAGAGATATCGGAATAAGACTAATCAATAAAAAAAACAAATGTCGGACAAAATAAAATCAAGCATCTGGGTTAAAAGAAGAATAGTTAAAACCATAATGTTAGGGCAATTCAAGTGACCCTAGCGCTGAAACGCAATCAGATAAAAATGAGTCTTTAAACGAGACTTAAAGACTTGAAGGGATGGTGCCTGCCTAATGCTCAATGGCAATTCGTTCCACAGAGTTGGAGCCAAAATAGAAAAAGCACGACAACCCCTCGATCGAAATTTCGACCGGGGGACCACCAGAAGTTCCTGCTCGGCTGAGCGAAGAGACCGAGATGGAGCATACCTGTTCAAAAGCGCAGTAATGTACGAGGGGGCACTGCCCTGGAGGGCCTTATAAACGAGAGTTAAGATTTTAAACTGAGCTCGATATTTTACCGGGAGCCAGTGCAGAGCATCCAGCACTGGGGTAATGTGCTCTCGACATCTAGTGCCTGTCAGGAACCTAGCCACAGAGTTCTGCACAAACTGGAGCCGTGCAACCGTGCACTGGGCCAGACCAGCATACAGAGCGTTGCAGTAGTCCAGCCGAGACAGGACGAAGGCATGCAACACAGACTCCAGATGAGCTCTGGACAGCAGAGGCCTGATCCTGGATAGTCTTTTCAGGTTAAAGAAACAGGACCTCACCACTGTATTTACATGAGTGTCAAGATTAAGTGATGAGTCGATTTTAATCCCCAAATTACTGGATGCTAGATTAAACTGAGTAATCAGATGTGTTGACTGAGGAGAAACCTTACATTGATGTAATTTCCTCCCATCGGGCCTCAGACACAAGTCCACCCAGCTGGGCACCTGAACCACTCGCACCAACATTCCCAGCAGCGTGAGGAGGAAACTGGGCGCTGAGTATCCGCTCATTAACATCACCCCTACAGTGGCAGCTTTATTCTGTTAGAACGTGCTTTTATTTCTTTGACAGGGTCAAAGACATACAGCAGACCAGGGTTAAAAAGAGACTGAGTGCTCTGGATGGCTGCCATAAGCGGTCATTTTAATGAGAACATCCGGAAAATTCTTTAAAACTCCTTGTTATGTTCGTCATGTGTTTCTTTTCTAATTCCGTTGGTTTTCTGTTCTTATCGAACACACACAGTAACAGAGGTTTTACCTTATTATGCTGATTGTTTCCGCCATTTCCGGTCACCTTCGTCAGAGCTTTGGTGGTGTCACACCAGTTGTCGGTTACTGTTATTAAAATAAGGTAAAACCTCTGCTACTCTGTGTTAGATGAACACAGAACACCAGTGGAGTTATCCAGAAAATTCCTCTGAGGAAACAGAGGTGGCTTCAGGGAAACTATGAAGTCCAGAATAACTATATCCTAGTCTGGACTTGAACTCAGGAGAACAACACAGAAACACTCCCATCAGACCTGACCCTGCTTGAACATTTCTGCCTGTCTGAAGAACAGAAACTTCGTCTTCCTCCGCTTATCCGGGTCTGGGTCGCGGGGGCAGCATCCCAACTAGGGAGCTCCAGACCGTCCTCTCCCCGGCCTTCTCCATCAGCTCCTCCGGCAGGACCCCAAGGCGTTCCCAGACCAGATTGGAGATGTAACCTCTCCAACGTGTCCTGGGTCGACCCGGGGGTCTCCTGCCGGCAGGACATGCCCGAAACACCTCCCCAGGGGGGCATCCTGACCAGATGCCCAAACCACCTCAACTGACTCCTTTCGATCCAGAGGAGCAGCAGTTCTACTCCGAGTCCCTCCCGAATGTCCGAGCTCCTCACCTTATCTCCAAGGCTGAGCCCGGCCACCCTACGGAGGAAACTCATTTCGGCCGCTTGTATCCGCGATCTCGTTCTTTCGGTCATCACCCAAAGCTCATGACCATAGGTGAGGATTGGGACATAGATCGACCGGTAAATCGAGAGCCTGGCTTTCTGGCTCAGCTCCCTCTTCTCCACGACAGATCGGCTCAGCGTCCGCATCACTGCAGATGCTGAACCAATCCGCCTGAACAGAAACATTCAGAGAAAATGTGCAGGTGCATGTAGGGTCAACCACGAGAACATCCGAGTCTGCTGGAGGTATTTCTCTGGCTTTGAGGAAGCTGGTACGTTCCCTATCAAAGAATAAAAGGAAAAAAATCTATCTGTCCCACTTCTAGAAACCATGCATTTACACTTTACTAATCAAATGCAACGTGGCTGTGAAGAAAGAGGCTGAAGACCTGGTTTTATTTCTCTCAAATTAAAGGAAGCAGATGATTGAGGCACCATAAGGTTTTCTGTGAAAGAAGAAAAACCAAGCCTAAAGATGGAGAACTGTCCTGCTTTAAGCATATCCCATCGCCTCACTAACAGCAAACACATGCAGGACAGTAACTCTATGGACTGATGTTATCACCAATTTTTAAGGGAGAGGAAGAAACAGACAGTGAGGGTGAGGGATGGCTGGGAGCCAGACACGTGACTGAAAACATACAATCTGAATTTCATTTAACTGGACGGATTCAGACAGAAAGATAGCAGAAGGATTTAAGACAGTTCTCTTTCTATCAAAGGGTTGCTCAGAGGAGGGGAGGAAGTCTAAATCCAAATCTTTTCACTTAAGATTGGGTCGACTAGATAGTGTGGATGGGCACTTCAAGGATTAGATCAGAAACTTAACCCTTATGAAACTTTCAAATGAAAATGAATAAATTAAAGGGATTTTACGGAGTTTTGAATTTTTATGCTCGCGATTGCCCCCTCAGGCCAAAAGCGTAACGACAGCTTCAATAGTAGGCTCGTGCACGAGGTGCGCATGCTGTACGTGCACACTCCTTAACGAAAATAGCAGCTGAGACAGTCCTGTGTGTGTGTGTGTGTGTGTGTGTGTGTGTGTGTGTGTGTGTGTGTGTGTGTGTGTATGTGTGTGTGTGTGTGTGTGTGTGTGTGTGTGTGTCGGAGGACAGAGGACAGGACAACGTGCAGCTAATTAATTAAATAATTTGGTTCTGTACCTTTCTCTTCAGCACAGCCGACAAAGGTTTATGATGGGTCAGTCCTCCTGCATGCTCAGATCATTTCTTTCCCTTGCTTGAAAAATTGTTTCAAAATGAAAGTTGAACCCACATCTTTTTTATCTGTGAATTCAATGCCGTTTGGCGAGTCTCAAATAAAAATTTGGGCATCTTACTGTAAAAAAATATACCATTAATGTAAAAAAGAAACTAAATAAACTATGTTCACATCTAGAATCGAACCCGGGTCTTCTGCACGAAAGTCCGACGTCTTACTAGGTGAGTTAAAGCGCCAATGACGCCCTTTGTATCTGTAACATTTATATCCTTGATGACAGCTGAAATAACGTTCAAAGAACGGTTCGGAGCGAAAATGGCTATTTTGTTGCTAATTTGCAGGAAATATCTAGAACAACGTTCTACAGAAAGTAGCTAAGGGTCCTCAGAAATGTAGCTAGCTTTGTCACTAGGCGTTAGGGACAGCAACAAAGACTAAAGCTACCAATAGCAAATGCTACGGGCTATGCCTGAGCATGAACGCGCATGAAGCAGCCTGCTCGACCCGAGCAGCTCTCTTTTTCTGTGATTTTACAGGAAAACAGGCAATCACAGTAAAAATGCCAGGGCTCATTCTACAGGACCAGGGCATTGCAGGAGAATGTATGAAGAAGACATTTATTATTTCTATACATGTTTTGGCTGTCAAACTTCCATAAAGCCCCTATAAAGTAAAAACAAAGTGTGAGCAAATGTGTTTATAATATAAGAACAAAGCTCATTAAAGTTACATCCAAAAACAAACGCTTATTTTTGCTGCCAAACATTTACGCTTTTTAGTTTCAGTTAAAGAAGGAATATCAACCGGCTATTTAAACCCTGCTGAAGAAAAGTGCTGAAGCTATTTTGCTTTACATAAAGACAGCGGAGCTTTGAAATAAAGCTGTAAAAAATAATGTGTGTTAATGACCGGATAAGAGGTGCAGAGAAATGATAGGTATTGTAATGGAGATAAAAAAGAAAGATGAAGAGACAAACTAAGAAAAGGAGCTTTCAAGTAAATTCCTCTGGTCCATTAGTCATCATTGTTAGCCTCCACAGAGTAAGAAAAAACCGATAAGGCACAGAGCTTCCATCTGCTGGTTTGTGTTTGTGTCCGATGGCCTCAGCAGCACTCAGAGGCTCACAGGTACAAAACGATGCAGGGAACAGAAATCTGGTCAGAATAGTTTTCTTTTTATAAGCTGTTCTGCAAGAATAACAGGAGAGAGCCTGAGTGAGAGGGAGAGAGCATAAGAAAAAGACTAATCAGAGCAAAAACAACAGCATCATAAGACTGGAGCTGCTGCAGCTCATGCCAAACTTATTAATACAGCCAGTAAACAAGTGTCGGGGAAACGGTGCACAGAGGACGGAGATTAGAGGCAAAAACACAAAAACAAGACCTACACTCGTGACTCGTCTGTAGATCTGGGCGGCGTTTTGACATTCCGAGTAGGGATACTCAGAGGTAGCCATCTCCAGCATGCACATCCCAAAAGCATAGACATCTACCAACTCGTCGTACTTCTCCTCATACATCTCTGGAGCCATAAACTCAGGGGTGCCTTAAAAAAAGAGAAAGAATTTAAAGGTTTTGAAATCACAAGTATGAAATTTTGTTGCAAAACCACAAACTTGTAGAACGCATTCTTTTTGCTAACATTTCAGATCTTCATAATTACTAAAAAGAAGCTGTGAAACCCACAGAGCGCGTCGTCCCTGCCTCTAGGGTATGCTAGCATGTGTGTTTGTGTACTTGTTGTGTGGGGGGAAAAGCTTGAGTAAGAGAATACTTGTGGTCAGCTCCACTACTACAAAGCAGAAAGGAAGCCAATGATGCTGCTCTGTGTGCTGAAGAGTGAATTGTGAGCAGCCATTACCTCCCCAGACAGCTTAATCCCACTTTACCAGCAGACTGACTGGAGGTTGCTTTACTTTCTGAATACCTGCCGTTGACTTTAACAGCCAGCAGTAAAATTATCGTGCAGTCGTTGGGCTTGGTGTGTGTATAGAATCTGTAAATGTTCTGCATGTGTGCATTATACTCCAGCCATTTATGCTAGCTATTTCACTTTCGCTTGGTGCATAGAGCGCTATTACTGCATGCAAGACTCTCCAGTTGCACGTGCGTTCTTCTAACCTATGACACTTTTGGCAAACGAGGCCCTCTTCAGCGTGGCCAAGCCCAGATCTCCTATCTTCACTGAGCCGGTGGGCCCCGTGATGAAGATGTTGTCACATTTCAGGTCTCTGTGAATAATGGGTGGCGCCCTGGTGTGTAAGAAGTGAAGGCCTTTAAGGATCTGCCGGCACCACGAACGCAGGACCTTGATTTTCATGACCTTGAAACGCTTCAGGTAACTGCAAAAGAAAGAAAGAAAGAAAGAAAGAAAGAAAGAAAGAAAGAAAGAAAGAAAGAAAGATCACTCAAAATAACATTCATCCCAGGTGAAAAGGGAAAACATCTTCTATAACAAACCAGATTTCTACGTAAAACAAACATGGGCTACTGCAGGCGGGGAGATCAGTTGACCACTGATCAGAAGGTGTGTGGTTTGATCCCAGACCTCTAGACCACGTGTCCAAGTGTCTTTGGGCAGTGCTGAACCTTGAAGTTGTCCTCCATGTGTCATATAAACGGCAGCCCACTTCTATGCATGGTGCATATTGTACTTGTTTTAGCTATTTTTCTTAGTATTTTTAGCGGATGCCTAATGTGGAGCTCTAGGAAATTTCGTTGAATGTGCAATCATTTAATGACAGTAAAGGATATCTAATCTAATCTAATCTCAGAGATGAAGTTAAAGTCAAAGTTAAAGTCCCGCTAGTCATCAGGGTCACACACAGGTGAAATATGTTCTCCGCATTTGGCCCATCCCCTGGAGGAGCGCTGAGCTGCAGACACGGTCGCACTCAGGAACTATTTGGTGGTTTAACCCCAGATAAATCCCTTTAATGCGGAGTGCGAAGCAGGGAGGCATTGGGTCCCATTTTAGGGTCTTTGGTATGACCCAACTGTAGATTTGAACACACGATCTCCCAGTCTCAGCTTGGACACTCATACCACAAAGACACTGAGCTGGATCGAATGCAGACAAATCATTTCCCCCAAGGGGATCAATAAAAGTTGAAGTTATTAATATTAATTAAAAGCACGAAGGCTAGAGTACTCAGGTGAGTCCAAAGGGTTTTGTGTGTGCAAGGAAAAGAAGGTAACGTTTCAACACCGTATGTGTCTTCATTAGGGTCGTCACGGTAACCGGTGTAGCGTTAAACCCCAGTAAAAAAGTTGAGATTAATAATAACCGTCTTGTTTTTAAAAAACTATATTATCTCGGTGGATTACCGTGGCTGCGGTGTAGGCGCGGTGACCCTTACCAGCCACCGTATCATCTGCTGAAGTTGCGGCACATGCGCGCTTTGTTGTTTACAACCAAAACTTTCTTGAAGCTAAAGCTGAAATAATGGTCAAAGGAGGAGACGGCAGCGCTCAGGAGGACATTTATAATCCCTCAAAGAAGACAAAGTGGGAAGTACGAGCATCTTACAGATATTTGAAGAATGCCGAGGGAGTTTATAGAAGACGACTATCCTGTTTGCAGCACGTGCAGAAAGTGTCTGTGAAAGGCAGCAACGCTTCAAATCTCATGACACATCTGCGTGACCATCACCCACAACTCTACAGTCAACGCAAGGCAAGCTAACGTTAGCGTTTTAGCTAAAATGCGTGATCCGAGGATTTGGGTTGAGGAAGAATGCAACGAGTGGCTATATAAAGCAGCCGCAGCGCCGCTACCTGCATATAAACCGTGTCTCGGACACCGCCATGTTGAAATGACGCTATGCATTACGGGGCTCCCAGGGGCAGATAAGAGTTGGTCTCTCTGCGAGAATAATTATGAATTTAACAATGATTACTGCCTGATGACATCTTCCCAAATCTGCAAAGCTCGCTGGAAGGACACAAACCGAGGACAATATTTTCCTGATATAGGGTTTATTACTCAAGTAAGGGTAAAAAAAAGTATCTGATTAGAAGGCTACTGGAGTACTGAGTATCATCTGATCTAATATTTTTAAATGATGACATCAAACAGACAAAAATTAAGAAGTTATGGGCAAATATTGGTATTTTAAAGACTAAAGGGGAAAAATGTAAACAAATAAACAACATAATTACAAAATAACACATTTTAGGCTAAATTTAGACACAAACGGAGGACAATATTTTCCTGATGTACAGGGTTTATTTAGTTGTCTGAAAATGTAACACGTTTAAAAAAATACCACGATAATACCGAAAACCGTGATAATTTTGGTCCCAATAACCGTGAAGCTAAATTTTCATACCACGACAACCCTAGTCTTCATCAGAGTGAAGACACATAATTGTTCAAGTTTTCTTTATTTTAAATCAGAACTACGTGTTTTGTTTTGTTTTTTCAGTGGTTTCACCTAAAACGTAAACCAGGTATTTGATCTATAGATTTACTGAAGTGAACGCACACACCCCAAAGCACAAATCTACGTACCGGAATATTTTCCACTCTCTCCAACACTCCATCTATGATTCCCATGTCTTCCATGTCTCTTAAAGAGACGGTGTGTATTTTTTCTGGCGTTAGGGAGCAGCAGATACCTAAATCGTTGCAAGCAAGCAGCATTTTTGGGTTGGCGTAAGACCTTACCAACAGATGCCCATTAGAGTCAAAAAACCCTGGGGAGTGCAAAATTTAGCAAAATAACAAACACATCAGGGACTCGACACACTGGAGGCGACAAACGACCGTAATCAGCGAAATTCATCGCTGTCGCTTTTATTACCTGACACACGGGAGGCGATCCGCGGCCAGCGGCAAAGCCGTCTACGCGTTCTGTTCCATGGCGAAATCGAAACTTCCGTTGTTTTGTTTGGCTGTGTCAGGTTGGAGGGAATTAAGGTTATTTAAGCGGTTCAGAGTTAAAAAAAGTGGTAGATATGATGTTTCACAAGGTGCTGCTAGAGTTATGTGAAGTCTTACTTCTGATTTTACTATATAAAACATAATAATAATCAACTTCTTCTTCATGTTTGCTCGGAGATGTAAAGAGCATCCAGTCTGCTCATTGGTCAGTGAATGAAACCTCCGTTGATTGGTCCTCGTCCGAGCGACAGCGATGAAAAGTTGAAAACATTTCAACTTTCTGGGATCGCGTCGCTGGGTCGCCTGTGCACGACACGTGCACGAGCGCAAAATTTCACACGCACGTTTTTCGCGTATCGCTTAGTAGGAGGGAGACCCGCGATTATTGCTTTGTCGCGCATGTCTCATTGAAAATGACTGGAGGAGAGGCGATGCAGCCTCCCGTGTGTCGAGCCCATCAGACTCCTTTTCATCACTGGCATCAAGTGAAGAGGTAAATGTGTAAAACAACAACGTTTAACAATGACGAAAGTTTTGAAACCGTTTGTTACAAATAAGTAAATGCATTTTGTCCAAATGGGCTCCCATAGAAGGAAACATGGCATCTAATATGGCGTCGCCCAGAGACGTCGGGTGTTTTTCAACATCAAGGCGCCTGGCCTTGCGAGATAATGTCTTGCGAGGCCAGGTGCCTTGCTTATGAGGACACTGTTCTTCCTTGGTCAAAGAAAACTGTTAAATGGAACAGACTTACATCACCGCGGAAGCCACGGTCACGTAACGTCACGTAACGTGACATGGGAGATAACGTTATATTTTATACTTTTAAGTTTCAATATAAATATATAACGAGCCTTTTACTTTTTAAATTGTGTATATTTTTGTTAAATTAAATATGTAAGCGAGTTACTACCTGCTAGCTACCAAAGCTGCAACTACTGAGCAACTAACAAACCATAGATAACTTCTTTGGATCTAAGAAAAATTTTTAATTAGTTGACTTACTTTTAAACTTGAAATTTAACCCTGAGGTAGCTGCCGGCTTCTGATCCACCGTCCTTCTGAAAATACCACGGTGTATTCTGGGAAATTTTTGACCAAGGCTAAGCTACAAGACACCTCCCTTGCTCAGCTAGCTAAACGGCTAACAAATGGAGATCACACCCCTCGGTAGAACCATAGAAATGTATATAAACATATAGATATGTATGTATGTTTATATACATACATATCTATGGGTAGAACATGAATATTGGAACACGTCTTGGCGGTTCCTGATGACATATCTCCTAGGCAACTGGAGCGGGGCCAAGGCATCAAGGCGAGGTTCCTTGGCATTGAGAACCACCCCATATATTTTAGACCTGATTTTTATGGTTATATGTTACAAAGCCGCCAATATTTTTCAACAACTGGGTATCATTTCATTCATTTTCAACAACATTTTGATGGATATTTCCAGAAATTAGCGGTTAAAAACTACACATTGTCTCTTTAAGTTACAGCACACCTCATTCTTCCTTTACATCCAAACACGCCAGAAGTTTGTGCGAGCTCACGATGGCTGATTGGTAGCTGGTCACGTGGTGTTAATCGCCTCTCGTAATCCCCTGTATACTACACGACGCTCGGCGCAAAACTCGCCCCGCTCGTGGATTCTCACACGAGTGGAAAATCGGCTCAAAAAAGTGAAAAAGTCACACAGTGTACGCCCGGCTTCACACACACACACACACACACTTTGGTACACGTTAAAAACAAACATAGCTCTCTCATACATAAACGCATCGATAAAGAGGCTATCATTTGCCGAACCTGCTGTGCTGCAGTGTTTTCATCTT